CTGGTCATCCGTTCAACCAATCAAAGTGTAATATGCTAATGATATGCTAAGGCCGCTCAACTGCTCGCTATGACATGCACTGACCACCAGGGGGCAGACTCTCTGACTGGTAGGTTAGCTTGCTGCTGGGGTTCAGCTGATCGGGACTGAGCAAGATGGGCCGGACAAACCCTGGAGCCCTCCTGCAGTCCCTCCCCAGCTGGCCAACCTCCTGCATCCCTCCCTGGCCCTGATTGTGCACTGGTGGGGTCCCTCAGCCTGGCCTGCACTCTCTCGCAATCCAGGACCCTTTGGGGGATGTCGGAGTGCTGCTTTCAGCCCGATCCCACAGGCCAGGCCGAGGAACCCCACTGGTGCAAGAATTTGCGCACCGGGCCTCTAGTAGAGTGATAAGAGCTATGGAAAATTTTCTCTGAGGATCGAGAAAGTTCACATCAGACAATGGCAGCCAGAGAAGACTTCCTGGGGAGGCAAAGAGAGCTAAGCCTAAACCTCAGGGAGGATTAGTCAAGTAGTCAAACATGGGGAGAAGGGTGGAGAGAGAGAAGTTTGCTCTGAGGAGGAAATGTGAGGTTTAGGAGGGTGGAGCAGTCTATTGGAGTAGGAGGGAAGCCAGAGGTGAGGATGGAGCGATGGGCAAGGGCCACATTCAATTACTTCCATGCTTAGAACCTTCTTATAGCTTCCCTGTTAACCTCAGGAAAAAATTCATGCAGCTCAACAATGAGGGGGGAGGAGAGAGGAGGAGGAGCCTCATCATCTGGGCCTTCCCCAGTTTCATTTTTCACTTCTCCCCCTCTACTTTGTTCAGCCTTCCTGCAGTTCTCTATTTGCACCAGCTGTTCCCTCTGCTTTTTCTAGTCTCTGCTAAGATTCCTCAGGGGGTGCTGGAGTCCCTCCTATGCACTGCAGTGCTGCCCTGGGCTTGCCTCAGTGAAGCATACCCTGCAGCATGCTGTAATGGATGAGTCTGTCTCCTGGCCCAGAGTGTGAACACCCTTGGAACAGGACTGTGTTTCACTCTCTGCTGTTCCCTGAGGACCTGACGCAGAGGGCTCCATAACCATTCGGTGAGCAATGATGAAAGGTTAAGTCAGTTATGACATATCATCTCAGCAGACACTTACTTGGCTGGTAAACACTTATGGCAGCTATGAAACCATATGGGAAAGGCTGCAGATAAAATATTGAGTACCAATCGACATGTACAAGATGTGAAAAAAGACAACCTAAGAAAAAGACAGCAAAGAACTGCAGCAAAATGGTTAATGGTGGTTGTCTTGGGTCATATTCTGGGATATTTGTTGTTCATTTTATTTTTCTGAGCTTTCCAAAATTTACTTAATTGATATGATGCATGCATCAGGAGAGTATTATATCTAAACAAGGAAATTTGGTGGGCACCAGGAACTGGGGGGAGTTTGTGGTCTTTACCTTGAGGTGGACGTCATCCATCAGGGCCAAGAGGAACGTGTAGAGATTCCCCAGGAAGAGTGCAAAGATACGTCCCAGCTGCCACTTCAGCCCAATGCGTGGGTGGTAGTTCTCCAGGGCAGCGATTGTTTCAAACAGAGGGGGACAAAACATCCCAAGCAGGGACATCACAATTTCAACCTGAGAGATCAGCAAAGCCTGGGTTACTTGCCTCATCAACATCACTTGGTTGGTCACAATCTCTGCACCCTGAGGGCCCTGCATCTCCCTCTCCTTGTTGTCCCCTCTTCTGCCTCTGGAGATGCCCTGGGGTCTCCACAACTTGCTGTGTGACCCTGGCGAAGGCACCAACATGCCCTGAGCAGTTAGCATATGTCCCACACATCAGAATTGCTCTGCAACTGGTTGCCATCATGATTGTTGCTTATTAGTATTGATTAAAAAAAAAAAGAGTAAACTTTTTTTGAGAAGTGAATGAGTTAACCTAGGGGATACTGCTTTGGGTTCTGTAAAGCTGTGAACTAGGTAAGAGTCACCGTGATAGCTGACATCATTTCAGGAGACTGGAAGACAGGAAGCTTATGATTCTGAGCTTAGCTAGATGGTTCTGCTGTCTCACCTGGATTCATGAATCTATGGTCAGCTGATGGTTGTTGGCTTCATTCACATGTCTGGTGGTTGACTGGCTATCACCTGGGGTGATGAGATAACTGGGCCATGTCTCATTATTCAGTAGGCTAGTCTGGACTTATTTATTTTTAATTTAAAAGAAAATGTTTTTATTGATTTCAGAGAGAGGAAGGGAGAGGAGAGAGAAACATCAATGATGAGAGAGAATCACTGATTGGCTGCCTCCTGCACGCCCTCTACTGGGGATCAAGCCCACAATCAGGGCATGTGCCCTGACCTGGAATCAAACCGTGACCTCCTGGTTCATAGGTTGATGCTCAACCACTGAGCAACACTGATTGGGCTGGAATTGTTTAAATCATGGAGGTCTCAGGATTCCCAAGAGAGCAAGTTCCAATTCACAACACTTTTCAAGTCTGCTTGTATATGGTAGCTACTATCCCATTGGCTAAAGCAAGTCACATGGCCAAACCCAACTGGATTCAAGGGATGGGGAAAAAGATGCTACCTCTTTGTGGGAGGAGCTAGAAAAGCACATTGCAAAGAAATGTGCATACAAGGATGGGAAGAATTTGTAACCATTTTGCCAACTACCACAGATGTCAAATTTCCAAAAGAGATTTATGGATTCAATATAATCACAATAAAACTTTAATGTGTTTTATTGTGGATCTCCATGAGAAAATCACTCTACCAGATATCAAGACATGCTATAAAGCTATGGTTTATAAGTGTGTTATTAGTGCAGAAATAGACAAATAGGTCAATGGAATGGAAAAGGGAGCCCAGAAACCTAGCCATGTATTAATAAACACTTGATTTATGACATATGGCATTATAGAGCTGTGAGGAAAGGATCACCTTTTTAACAACTGTGTTTAAAAGCTATCCTGACTGACATGCTAATTAAACCCAGCTCTATCTAGCTACAGAAGCCTAATGGGTGACCCTTTGTTCAAGATGTTTGCACTACTAGACTAGAAAGAGATGCAATTTCACTTTCTAGATCAAGTCTTTTTTTTTTTAAATATATTTTATTGATTTTTTACAGAGAGGAAGGGAGAGAGATATAGAGTTAGAAACATCGATCAGCTGCTTCCTGCACACTCCCTACTGGGGATGTGCCCGCAACCAAGGTACATGCCCTTGACCGGAATCGAACCTGGGACCTTTCAGCCCCCAGGCCGACGCTCTATCCACTGAGCCAAACCGGTTTCGGCCCTAGATCAAGTCTTTAGCTGAACGGTGTAGGAACCAGTGTAATTTCAGTATTTGCCCCTAATATTCACTTCCATAGAGATGCCCTCCTTACCTCATTCCTTTCATACCAGCTGACATTCTGCATTTTGGAGAATTCCTGGGATCGCTTCACCACAAAGTAAATGAGGTACCCACTCCCACACAAACAGCAGATGATGAGGAAGTTGGCCAGGACGCGGAGAAATCTTGTCAGGTGAATATTTTCTTCTTTGTTACTTTCTTGTTCATCCACTATTGATTCCTTAATGTGTGAAAAATGAGATGTGAATAATGGAGGGCCAGGAGCCAACAGGAACCATTTTTGGGTTCCTGGGATGACTCCTTTCTGGATTTATATAAGTGAAGTAATATAGAGCAGTGATATTAAGCAGTGTTGCCCTATGGAGAATTAGTTCTTTCCTTTAAGAAAACCCTGGCCAGTGTGGGTCAGTTGATTGAGCTTCATCGGGAGCACCAAAGGGTTGCCAGTTCAATTCCCAGTCAGGGCACATGCCCCGGGTGGGGTTCAGTCCCTAGTCGAGGTGCATATAAGAGGCAATCAGTTGATGTTTCTCTCACATTGATGTTTCTCTCTCTCTCTCTCTCTCTCTCTCTCTCTCTCTCTCTCTCTCCCTCCCTCCCTCCCTCCCTCCCTCCCTCTGCCTTCCACTCTCTCTAAAACCAATAAAACCATTTAAAAAAGAAAGGAAAAGAAACCACATTTTGCTGTTACTGTTATTCTGGTCCACGCAATGACAGAAGCTTAGATTTATTAAATAATTACCATGTACCAGATGTGTACACTTCCCATGCATTTTTCCTCTTAATCTCAACAACAAACCAATAGAGAAATTACTATTATTATCCACATCCCAGATACTAAGGATCAGAGAAATTCTAGTAACTGATTGGGATTGTTTTAAATCTATAGATCAAATAGATTAAAATTGATTCTTATTATTAAGTCTTCTAATCTAGAGGCTGGCTTTTTCTATAAAAAAAGTTCTGGCCAAACTTTTTAAAAATAAAAAGCCAGATAGGAAATCCTTTGGGCTTTGCAGGCCATGTGGTCTCTCTCACAACTGTTCAGCTATGCTTTGTAGCATGAAAGCAACCACAGAGAAGATATAAATATATGGGCATGGCTTTGTTTCAATAAAATCTTATTTACAAAAATAGGCAGCAGGCTGGATTTGAACCCTGGGCCATAGTTTGGTGACCCCTGTCCTAATCCATGAGGATGGTATATCTCTCCATTTATTTAGAGTTTTCAAATCTCTTTCAGCAATATTTTATACTTTTAGTGTAGCGATCTTCATTTTTTTTTTTTGGTCAAACCTATGCCTAGGAATTTTTATAATTTATATAATATTATTAAAAATGGAATTTAAAATGATTTTTAATTGTTTGCTGCTAGTGTATAAAAATACAATAGATTTTTTATTATTAATCTTTTCTCCTGTACTCATAACTTTATGAAGACGCAATTAGTATATGGCAGACCAGGATGAAGAATGAAGTCTCTTAGATACAAAAGTACCTGGAAGGAGATTTTGGCAACTAATTTACAGTTACTGTGTTCAGGTTCAGGTTCAACTAACTCTTCAGGCAGTTAATATACATTAATACACACCATTCTCACAACATGTGCCCTGTTATGTAAGTGTATTAACTTGTTTTTCAAAAGACTCAGAAGTCTTCTCTTCCCCAGATGTTCAAAGTGCTTTATAAGCATTTTATTTTATTTTTTAAACATTTAAAAATATATTTTTGATTGATTTTAGAAAGTAAGGGAGAGGGAGAGAGAGATAGAAACATCAACGATGAGAGAGAATCATTGATCGACTGCCTTCTGCACACCCCCTACTGGGGATCGAGCCTGCAACCTGGGCATGTGCCCTTGACTGGAATCGAACCGGGGACCCTTCAGTCCGTAGGCTGACATTCTATCCACTGAGCCCAACTGGTTAGGGCGGCATTGACCTTCTTTGTCTCTTGCTGGTAGGCCAGGAGGAAGAGACAAAGGCCCCATTGACTCCTACCCCATCCTTGAATGCTCCATCAGAGGCCCCCCCCATTGCTGTGAGAAGAAGGGGTGGGGGACTGAGTCAGCTCCCTCCTCTACCCACTGCCAAGCTGACAGAACTCTGGGGCTCACGAAACCCATGTAAGTGAGTTGCTGAGCCCAAGCCCTGTCCCTGGTGGGTGTATCTGCCATCTGCAGGCATTGGTCAGCAGGCAGCAGCTCACTTCTCCTCCCAGGAAGTGTCAGGAGAGAGGAGATGGAAGAAGACAAAAACAAACAAACAAACAAATAAACAAGCACAGTTGTGTTATAAATCTGATTTCTGCCAGGCCCTAGGAATATTGAACTATCAATAACTCTGAGTGATTTTTACAGTCATGGAGAAAAAAATAAGATGTACAGTGCTTCAGTGTTACAGCTTCTGCCATTGTTAATTTGGTTATCCTCCGGTTTATTTTTATATCTATAATAATAAAAGCGTAATACGCAAATTGACCCAATGGCCGAACAGCGGAATGACTGTTTGGATGACCTTCTGAACGAAGCCAGGGCTGCGAAGGCCTAATCTTGCACGAATTTCATGCATCAGGACTCTAGTTATAAAATAAAAAGAGATGTGTAGGTCATCTCACATCTCCCTTGTGAACCAGTTAAGGTGATAATTAAGTGTGTAGTTGTAGACATAATTGATTGCTCTATTCCCATATTTCCAGACCAGGGTTCTCAACTCTTTCTGGGTGTTCTAATCACTTAAGGAACTTTAAAAAAAATCCAATGCCAGGACCCTACCCCACACTTATCACACCAGAATCTCTATGGGTGGGACTGAGAAGATTTTTTAAGCTCCTTAGGTGATTCAAACATGTGTAAAGGGTTGAGAAAGTCCACCCCAAGCACATCCTTTCATGTCCCTAAGCCGAAAACATTTCCACAAGGATATAGGCAGGACCAGGCCCCAACAAACATGATTCTCTGACATAGTAAGAAACAGATGGTGGGGAGCAGCTGTGAGCATTTTTCTTGAAGGCTTGATAGCTGGGCTCCTGCTGCTGGTAAAGTTCTTGCCACAGGTTACTTGGTAATCTTACTTGCCATGCCCCAGCTGGGAGAAGTCTCCCAATGACTGGAGGTACCCAAAGTCCCCCTAGGACAGTGGTTCTGAACCTTCCTAATGCCACGACCCTTTAATACAGTTCCTCATGTTGTGCTGACCCCCAACCATAAAATTATTTTCGTTGCTACTTCATAACTGTAATTTTGCTACTGTTGTGAATCATAATGTAAATATCTGATATGCAGGATGTATTTTCATTGTTACAAATTGAACATAATTAAAGCATAGTGGTTAATCACAAAAACAATATGTAATTATATATGTGTTTTCCGATGGTCTTAGGCAACCCCTGTGAAAGGGTCATTCGACCCCCAAAGGGGTCGCGACCCACAGGTTGAGAACCGCTGCCCGAGGAAGTGGGAACTGCCCGGGGTGGCTACCTTGAAGCTGGTGGTGATGGACACATATTTGTTGTCGGCCGTCTCTGAATTGCCGATCAGGTAGTCCCAGCTGGTGAACATCTTGAAGCTGAATGTGAAGTTATCACTCTCCCCTTCGCTGGTGCTGCCCTGGGTGTTGCTGGCCATCCTGTAGGGTGCACAGCACTGTTGTTATATCTGCCCTGTCTTTACTGTGTCAGCCCATGGGAACCTTGGCCTGAGCCATTCATGGGCACAGGTAGCAGACATCTGATGAAGGGAATGAACCATGCAGGTACTCGGGCCAAGAAAGATTTGATTGGGGCACTTTCCCTTCAAATTCAGAGTCCCCTGTGAGCACCTATGGTGTCAGTTGTGTAATTAGAAGCCGGCAGGACACTTAACCATGCTTTTTGCCCCAATGTCTGATTTCCTATGGCTGGATTTGCCTGCAAATGTTTTAGAAGTCTGTTCTCACAGAGAAACGGCCTCTTCTAATTTATCTATTTTCTTCAATAGAAAATGTATTTTTTCTGATGTAAAATCCAATAAGCCTGAGACAGTTGGTACTGCACCCAGGTAACACAGACATCCTTTTCTTAAAGCACCTTGGACCTGCCTTGTTACCTACATATTTCATCCCACCTATCTTCAACCGTTCTTTGTGGAGTCTCTCTGGGGGTCAGCTCTGTGGGAATCGAAATATTCAGAGCAGGAGCTCTATCAGACACAGTGTGTGTGTGTCGGGGGGGCGGTGTGGGGGGTGAGGGTGCACTCTCTCTAATTCTATCTTATGTGTTGGTTTTTGGGATTTGCTATTTTAGGGGCTTGGTCGGCTTAGTTAGCTTTTTGGTTCATCAGGGAAACATTTCATATCCTTATACTTATCTGGGATAATTGCAGGGAAAAACGTAACCACATGAGGCTAAGAATAAACCCAAGCCTGTCTCCTTGTTTTTTTGTGTGTTTTTCCTCCCTGTTGCTTGATAGAGCTGGGCAGCCACATATCTCCTCATGGTCACTGTTGTGTGCTGGGCAGGCTCTCATGAACGGCAGCATTTCCCTTTAGGATTCTAACCAGGCTTGGAGAGTTCTCTTCTCCTCTTCTCAGACTCAGCTATCCCTGCTCTTCTGGGAGAAGTGACCCTTTGTGGCCCTGCCGAAGAGTGGTGAGCCCTGGTGGTCAGGTGTACGTAGGAGACTGTGACACCCCACCCTGCACCAGCCTTTACTGATTGGGGTCCCTGACTAAGAAGGAGGCAGTTCATGGGATGGGTCAAAATGTTCTTTAGAAAGTATGAATTAAGAACCAAGTCCACTTCTGACCATTGAGACAGGTAGAGTTGGGGCCAATGTGGACACCATACATTCATTTAGGCTTACTGTTTATCTACATCATAAAAGGCCTGTGGTCATGATGCTGTAATGGTGTCACAACCAAACCACCGGTCACCAGGAGGTGCATGGAGCACCTGTCGCGGGCTGGGACTTTCAGCTTCCGCAGCGAGACGGGGCTCTCGCGCCGGGCTGTGCATCGAAGAGGGCGCAAGGCGGGCATGAGCGGGTAGTGTGGCATGGGTCCCCAGGTGGCGAGTGGAGGTGCTCCCACTGTGCGGGGAGGTGAGAGGGCGCACAAGGCCTGGGCGAGGGGTGGGGGCAGCACACGGGGGAAGGGCGTGAGCTGAGAGCGACGCAGGGTGCCGGCAGCGTCCACAGAGCATCGAGGCGTCGCGGGGCAGCGGACATGGCCCTGATGGCAGGCTAGGCCTAGGGGACCCTACATGTGCACGATTTAATCATGCGCTGGGCCTCTAGTATCATCGTAAGTACCAGGCTGGATTCCCACATGCAAGCTAGAGGTATAGAGGAACAAAGAGTTTTTTAGAAAAAGCTGAGCTCTGGGGAAAGCAAAAACAGGTCTTGCAAACTTCTCCAGTCTTACCTTACTCAGTACCATACAACCACAGTGGTCTTTTGGCAGTTCCTGGAATTCACTAGGCTATTTCCTACCTCAGGGCCTTTGCACATGCTCCTCTTTTGTCTAAAATGCTGTGCCCCAGACTTTCAGCATGGCTGGCAGTTCTTAGCCTCATCTAAAGGAGTTTCTATCCCATTTCACAGAACTTCCCACATTACCCTGTTTGTCTTTTATACCACATACAACAATCTGCCTTTGCTTTTTTTTTTTTCCTCTCTAAATCCCCCACAAGAAGGTAAGTGGGCACAGAGTGGCCGTGGGAGTAGGATGTCTGTATGAAGAAAATTAAAAACCTGTAAAGAAGACGGTCATACTTACGATCTAATGACAATCATCAGGCTATAGCCGAACACGCTGACCCCCACCATAAAGTAAGCCATGGGCAGTCTGTACCTCAGCCACCCGATGGTCCTCTGGTCGTTGTAGTAGCCGTAGAAGAGAGCGGAGTATTTAATGTAGCCCTGTGGGACAGCAAACCCAAATGCTCTGGGTTTGTAAGCTCAGCGCAGTCATCAGACACTTCCATGCTACAGGCATTTCTTTCTCAGGGGCTTAGCGGGAGTCTGAGGGGAGGAAGGAAGAGTTCTGGACACTCCTGTTCTTCCCTTCATTTCCCCCAATTGATCCCAAGTCTATCCATGTCTCCCTGTCTCCCCCTCTTTTCTTTCTTCATTCTCTCGATTTCTCCATTATACAGAGTGCAGAGATAGAGGACAGGGAGGAGAGTGTTGTTAACATTCGGGATAAAACTAGTAATAAGGGGTGTGTGTGTGTGTGTGTGTGTGTGTGTGTGTGTGTGCATGCACATGCGTATGCACAAATAGCTCCAAATTCTTAATGTGAGCATGAGACCCTGAGCAAAGGCAGGGAGGCACCAAAAGTGTGTGATGCATCCAGGGACTTCCCCCAAACTTGATAACATTGGGGCATAAAGTGTGAGGTCTTAGGTAGATAAGGGACCGAAGAAGTAGGGGACAGCCAAGCCAGGTCATGAATAGTTCTTTTGTAAACCCAAGCCAGAACACTGGGTTTTATTCCATTTGGGAGTGGGTATAAGTGGATATTGGAGGTAGGGATGATAGGGTCAGGTTTGCATTGTAAAAAGATCGCTCTGTAAGCAGAGGGAATGTAGATTGAAGTAGATTGAAGGAGCCAAGCCAAGGCAGAGAGCAGAGGTAGAAGATTCTGACAGTGGTCCTGGTATCTGGATGGCAGATGCAAAGTAAGGGGTACAGACAAGGACTCATCCATGCCCATGGCAGGGCATAGAGATGCAGTGGGGTGCTATTCAAAGGAGAGGTAAGGGGGATGGAAAATAGGGGACCAATTCTAGAAATATTTAGTGGATAGGCTCAGACATAGTGATTGATTGCATGTGGGGCAGGGTGGGTAAGAGGGAGAAGTGTAGGGTGACCTAATGATTGGATGAACCACGGTTCCAATAAAGGAGATGGGGAAAAGGTGTGTGTTTGGTTAAATAGATGTTGGAATTTGTGGAACAATAGGACATTCACTTGAAGATGCCATGTCACACTTGGGAGAAGGCTGCAATAGCAATAGACTTGGGGTCTTCATGTGGGCACAGGGAGAGAAAACCATATTGTAGATCAGCTTACATTGATCTAGCGGAATGAGGAGAGCCGTGTTCTCATGGGGGCTCATAGCCATCAGCATGTGTGCCCGCACAGAGGAACCTATGAAGGGGACCGAGGAGGTTGTAGTGGCTGACTCATTTTGCATAGTGCTGGAATTCGATTTGAACAAAGCACTGGGTTTTCAATAATTAAATGCAGCATGTCTTGTGTATTCGTGCAGTTTTTAGACCTCACAATCACAAAACCGAAGTTCATTGGCATGTTGGCAATGGTACCTCAAAATCCCAAAGAACGGAAAAGTCCATGGCTCTTTCTTCCTCTGCCCGCGGCACTGTCTTTCTGGGTATACTTCCATAGGGCATGCCCATCAGTACCTTGTAGGGACAGGACGACATGATTATATGTGGAGAAAATACAAACACACCGAGACTTCCCTTCTCAGAACAGGCACACCCATTTTCTTCTTTAAATGACATTAATCATGTACCTGATTTTACAAGTAACACACCTATTGTGGAAAATGTGAAAAAGCCCGACCACTTGGGTGAGCATCAACCTATGAACCAGGGGGTCACGGTTCAACTCCCGGTCAGGCCACATGCCTGGGTTACAGGCTGGATCCCCAGCATGGGCCATACAGGAGGCAGCCAATCAATGATTCCCTCTCATCATTGATGCTTCTGTCTCTCTCTCATCCATTCCCTTCCTCTCTGAAATCAATAAAAATATGTTTAAAATGTGAAAAAGTAAAGAAGAGCATTTTATCTACCACCTCCCCATCTTATTAAGAAAAAAACCTACCTCAGTGTCCTTAAACTTATTCACCTTCACAAAAAGACGGCTTTTCTGAACCACTGTATTGCCCGTGACGTCTTATAGGCCGACAGCATGTTTCTGTGCTCTCTTCTCATGGAAATAAATTCATTTGGAATAAAAAAAAACTCCCAGGAAGAAAGCAAAAGCTCTGTGAAGGTACATTTCCCCAGTGACTTCTGGGAAAACTGACACTTCCTTGGCTATGGAGGGAACAAGTGAAACTTCTTGCTGGCCTCTGGCAATATTTCTCCCCTGGGGAGAACCAGGCCTGGTGGAAGGGCACTTGTACACACTTGCCGGAAGGTTTAAAATCCTTATTTCTATGCCGGAGAGTGATACTGGCTTAAGGATATACATAGGACTAAGTGGACTCTTAACCCAGAATTTCCAGCTATGTGTATAAAGGTGTATAAAGCTTAGTTAATGACATATTTTTCAATACACTTTTTAAGTTATGTAGAAAAGAATTCAGTGGTTTTATAAACAACTAGAGGCCCGATGCACGAAATTGGTGCAAGACTAGGACTTCCTTCCCCCGGCTGCTGGCACTGGCTTCCCTCTGGCACCTGGGACCCAGGCTTCCCTCGCAGCCCTGGCTTCGTCTGGAAGGTTGTCTGGAAGGACATCTGGAAGGACGTCCAGTCTAATTAGCATATTATGCTTTTTTTATTATAGATGTAACACTTCTTTGCTACTAAGCACTATTATAACACACCATCAACCACTTCCAACCAATCTGGTTTAATTCACATTACATGGAAATCCTTTTAATTTCCTAATAAACAGACAATGCAGAAAAATTTCCCAAGGATGTGACTACAGATAGAATTGACTTCATATTCTCATGGAACTAGTTATAGTAAAATAGGGGTCAGTAAACTATCATAGAACCCATTAATACACCTGGAAGGAAGAAAATATTAAATGCAGACAGATAGTTACGTGAAAGTTTCTGAAGTAAATCCACTTGTGTACCCAGCACCAGCACCAAACAGCTCAGGCAGGACTATAGCAATTCGTGTGTTCGATGCTTAATGGACCAGAGGCGATGGGGGGTTTAAGGGTTGCAGGAGGAGGAAGTTAACACTATTGAGCACTTTTTGTGTGTGATGGATCCAATTTTCACATCAGTCTTTTTGTTTCTCAATTGCTCATTGATAGGCAAGGACCTATCTATATTCACAATAGGATGATAGTTGAAAGAATAGTGAGGAGCACTAGTCAAATCCAATTTTTTTTTCTGTAATAAATTATGATATAATGCATTCTATCCCCCCCCCTCTTTCTGGGTAAAAAAAAACTCACTGGGATATTAATTCTCCACTTATCTTAAAGTAAAATGAGAGGTAGAAAATGTAGAGTCCACATCTTAATTCAGAAATATTTTGGTTCCTTTTTTTTTTTTTTAACTGAGCTATCTGGGCAATTGATGTGAGTATAGAATCTAAAATGAATGACTGATTCTTTGTAAAACAGAGAGTACTTAATATAAATGAAGATGGTGGTTATGATAAGCCTGAATACTATCCAAAGACATACGAAGTTCTTTCTTACCTCTGGGATTATGACTAGCCCAAATATTAAGCCAAAAAGGACAAGGTTAACACCATACATCCATCGGAGAAAGATGAAATATGATGCCACTGAAGAACCAAAGTGACCTGGAGAGAGAAACGATGGGGGTTAAAGGGTTGCAGGAGGAAGAAGTTAACGCTATTGAGCACTTTTTGTGTGAGATGGATCCAATTTTCACATCAGTCTGTGGTGTGGACATCCTGACCTCCATTTTCTTTTTCTAAATAAGTAACGTGAGGCTCTCTGGGCTTAATGGATCTGCCTAACCTCCCAGAATCAGAAAGTGAAGAAACACAATTTAAATCTTTGTCTAGCTAGTCCATAGCCCGTTCTTTTCCCAGTACAACGGGATCTACAATAGTCTAATCAGAGGGACAAGAACACAGTCCCAGCCCTTGGAAAACACTTCAGTAAACCAGCTAAAAACAGTGACACCAAGATACTCACTTTCAATGTCCTTGATCTTCATTTCCCAGGGAATACACTGAGTCTTGAAATTATCAAAGTCTCTCTTAAACTTGATCCATTTCTGAAATTAGACAGGCAATACCCTCAGTTCTTTAACATGGTGCCTTGGGCCTTGGAGGGGCATGCTGGAGGTGCACATTGATGTTGACATGTCAACATGAGGTCACATGTGGGTGAGGCACCCCCTTGGAGTCGGTGAGCCCAGGCTGCCAGAGGCGGATGCTAAGTCTTCGCTTTAAGTCAGGTGTGGAGTGAGAGAGAAGCCAGGGCTACACAATACCTTGCATTTGTCTACCGGGCTGATAAAACTTCAGGTTTGAACAGTTTATATATAAATTTAGAAATTTTGTATAGAATTTCTGACTTGGGGAATCAAATGGGTTAACAACCTTTAGATACAGCTTCCTTTACCTTAAAACAGAAATTCAGTGGAAAAAAGAAATCTCACAACTCTCACAGCACATTTCGCAGTCAGCCAAGTGCCTAAATCTGATAGGAATTGCTGCTAAACCACGATGCTGATGGGACTGGTAGAGGCCTCAGCCCATGGCTTCCCTTTCTTCTCCTGGTGAAACAATAGCCTGCTTTTTGTTTGTTTGTTTTTGTTTTTGTTTTTTTCTAAAGAAAATGAAAGCACCACACCCCTTTTCACAGTCTTTTCCCAGCTCCAATACTCAGAGTTTGCACCAGTCAGAAACCTCAGTAGCTGCCTGTCAGTAGCTGGGTGAACATTTGTCAACTCTTCAGGGGGCTGCTTTCCAACAACCCCAGCCCCTGGAAATAAATCCATTTGGAATTTAAAAAATTCATAGAAAACAGCAAAGAGGTAGTAGGGAGAAGCTCCTCAGATCAGTGTCAATTATTACAAAGGTCTCCTAAGAACTTGTTCATGAAGGAAATGAGATTTTCCTTTGTAAATTCACTAAGGATGAAAGGAAATTTTGTCTGAAGGAATCAAACAGGCTTCCAGACCTGAAGGCTTTGACCATATCCTAATTGGGTGACTACTTAATAAGGAAGGAAACCATCCGTCAGAAGAGAGAGAGGAGAAGGGAGGCTCCTAGGGATAAGACTGGTTGATAATGCAAAGATATCCCTAAGACAGGAAGGGAGGGCTGTGGGGAATGGCCGGTGGTGGACACCGGGCACTTCAGTCCCACTGCTTCATCTACTTTCCTTAGTTCTGATTCTGTGCTCAAAAATCATCTCTGGCTTATTTGGCTTCCTGTGTAGGTCTGTCTATGAGGAGAGCATTTGCCCACCACCTGGGCTCTGAGTATTTTGGTTTCTATGGCAGTAATTTTTCATTGCAAATTAATAGATTGGAATTGGGATTATGGTTTAGGTTTCCATAGAACTAACTCTACTGGGGGGAAAAAAAGGCATTGCTGATGTGGACTTCAGGTTTTCCAGTTCTTGTATCAGTTATTTCTCCTTGTGAATTAATAATCCCGTATCTGGTTTTATATATCAGTCTCATAAGCTTTATTAATGTGAGTCCTCCCCCAAGATGGATCTACTGTCAGGGTGCTGATAACATCAGTACAAAATATAGGCTTGCAAGGCTGAAGCCAATAGGGGTAATGAATGCTGCCAAGCGAGGCCCCTGGAGACACAGCCTGCCAGTTGGTCTCTTGGCAACCATCCGACAGCCCCTCAAGGCTGTAGGCATCTTGGCCTGAAAAGTGATGTCTTAGAGGTGGAGCAGAGGCAGAGGGAGGCCCGGAGAAGCTCTGCATTGAAGCTCTCTATCCTACATTGGCTTGCAGCGGTTCTCAACCTGTGGGTCGCGACCCCTTCGGGGGTCAAACGACCCTTTCACAGGGGTCGCCTAAATACATCCTGCGTATCAGATATTTACATTACGATTCATAACAGTAGCAAAATTACAATTATGAAGTAGCAACGAAAATAATTTTATGGTTGGGGGTCACCACAACATGAGGAACTGTATTAAAGGGTCGTGGCATTAGGAAGGTTGAGAACCACTGGCTTAGAGAATCAGAAAACTGGGCGAGGGTGTGGGCGGGAAAAGACTTCACATGCCCTTCCTCAGAGCTCCGTGAGATGGTAGCTGCTGCCCCAGGGCTGGGTTATTCATTGTGACTGTCATCTTGCTCCCCAGCTATATAGTCAACTGGACCTCACGCTCAGGATTCTGGGGGAACTGGACACAAATGGTGAGGCTGGGAGGTGCCTGAGATAGTCACCCAAGTTCAGAAGTTTGTAGCCTCTGCATCACACACCTTAGTCATCAGCATCCTATAGGCGTAGAGTCGCTTGCCTTTCCCTTTTCCCAAGGCTCCTTCATACTTCTCCACAAATTCTTGGGCCTCCCTGGTTGGAAAAAAAGAGGCGGGGGCAGGAATTAACACCCAACCAAAAGAAATCTGAACTATGAGGTGTCTATGTGGTGGAAGGCTGTGTTTTTATACTGCTTGTGGAGCATAATGCAAGTTTCATGAATGAAAGGTATTTTGTCTGTTCAGTCCCTGGAATTTCCTAAATACAAGCACAGTGTTTGCTATAGGGTAGGCACCTGTAGGCACCTTTTGGCCTCCGTGACCTTCATCCCCAGGTGGTACATTCATGAGTGGCAAAAGGGATTTGGCAGGTATAATATTACTGACTTTAAAATAGGAACATAGCTGCCCTAGCTGGTTTGGCTCAGTGAACAGAGCATTGGCCTGTGGACTCTAGGGTCCTGGGTTTGATTCTGGTCAGGGGCACATGCCGGGTTGTGGGCTCCATCCCCAGTAGGGGGCATGCAGGAGGCAGCCAACCAATGATTCTTTCTCATCATTGATGTTTCTCTCTTTCCCTCATCATTGATGTTTCTCTCTTTTCCTCTCCCTTCCTCTCTGAAATCAATTCATATATATAACATAGCCCAACCGGCATGGCTCAGAGGTTGAGCCTTGACCTATGAACCAGGAGGTTACTATTCTATTCTCTTCCTTTTCAGGGCACATGCCCGGGTTGCAGGCTCGATCCCCAGTGCCAGGGAGGTGGGGGCGGGGTTTAGAGGGGGACGTGAAGGAGGCAGCCGATCAAGGATTTTCTCTCATCACTGATGTTTCTATCTTTCTCTCCTCCCTTCCTTTCTGAAATCAATAAAATATAAATATTTTTAAAAATAGGGATATGATTTTGGGTTATCTGGAAGGGTCCAATGTAATCATGTGAACGCTTAAAAACAGAGGAGGAAGGTAGAAGAGTCAGAGAGAAGTGGCAGAAGAGAAAGTTAAGGAAATTAGAAGCAGGAGAATTTCTGACTCTCTGTTGCTGGGGCCCCACATGAAAACCAAGAGAAGGAAATGAATCTGCCAAAAACCAGTGAGCTTGGAAGAGGACCCAGAGCCTGAGATGGGAACTGCAGCCCTACTGATACCTTGATTTTAGTCCAGTGAGACCCTGAGCAGAGAATCCAGCCACGCTGTGCTGGGCCTCTGACTGACAGAAGTGTGAGCTAACAAACGAGTGCTGTCTGACACTGTTAAGCTTGTAGTCATTTGTTACAGCCGCAACAGAAAACAATACAGCAATCAGGAGATATTTGTGAAGTGCATGAATGTTGAATGAGTGAGTGAACATCCAGGGAAGGTTGTCTACATTAAATACTCTGGGGTGGTGTGCTGGAGCTGGTGAGGACCGGCTGCTGTGAACCTATTTAACTATTCAGGGACGTGGCCGACCAATTGTTGAACTGTTGGTACCTTGAAATTGGCCATGGTGGGAGCATGCTCCCCCCTTCCTCCCCTTCTCCCCCCGCTGAGAACCAATTTATCAGCAGCTACTGGATAAACCCCAACAAGCGGATAAAGAATGAAATTCATTTCAGAGTGGATGCAAGAGGCATGGTGGAGCTGTGGGTCTCACTGCTATTGCTACAGCCCCCACTGCTTGCTATACAAACCTACACCATCTCCAACGTGCAAGTGCGGGCCGTAGACACGTGTCAAAGTCACATTCTAACCTGGGAGTAATGCCAAGGCTGGTTTTATTAGGATGTCTCCATGGTGTATCAGTATGACGGAGGCTGACTGCCTAGCTGAGCCCAGGCTCAAAAGCTGGGCTGTCTGGGGTCATAATGAGATTAGCAACTTGTACCCCCTCAAGGCAGTGACTTATCTGTGACTACCAACATCACCGAGACACCAAAGAACCATTTTCATGAAATCCATACTTTTGTCCTCTTTCTCTATCCTACAAATGGACAGAGACTTGTAAGCACTTGGAGTTTGAGTTTAACCACGCCCACTTTTAAGATTTGGGGACTTCAGAATGAGGATTCTCAAAAGTGAAAGCCAGCTCTCGTGCCTGAGTCATTGAGCCCAGCAGCAAATGCGTTTCTTCTCCTCGTCCATACTCTGTGTCCAGACCCCCAGGAAGCCCTCAGGAGAAGAGCGCTCAGCACGGGGTGCAAACTCCCAGGATCATTCACTGTGGGGACGCCACCTGATTTAATCATTTTGATGAAGGAGCCTCTTGTGCATGTGGGGTCTCTGACTCTCTCCTGTATGTGAGGTTGCCATACATACGTATGTATAAAATTTGGCTATTTTCTCTTGTTAAAAGAAAAAGAATTTTGATGGACACAGTAAGCTCACGCTTTTACAGTGAACTCCTTTACACATTCCCCTGTGAGCCAGACCATCATGTTTTTCCTTACCGAGATGGGACTGGCTTATGCAAACACTGGCTCCTGCCCTGCGCTTCCCCATGGCTGCAAAGCTGACTTCCCTAGGGTGTTTCTGTCCCCTCCCTGTCAGCAGTGTCCTTTCAAATGGAGGACAAAAGCCACATTTGAGACAATTTCAGTCATTATTTCTTTGATGATGTTTTCGGTCCCATTCTCTTTCTCCTCTTTTTCTGGGACCCACTTCACATCCAGGGCAAGGGATTTGGAGAAGAACTGACGTTAGAGCATTTGTTATAGTCTCACAGGAGCCTGCGGCTCCGCTCACTCTCCCCAGACTATCTTCTCTCTATTGTTCAGGTTGGGTAATTTCTCTTGCTCTACCTCCAACTTCGCTGTTACTTAACTCTTCTCTTCATTCTGCTGTTGAGCCCAATTTTTGAGTTTTCAGAAATTTCAGTTTTATTTTTTTTTTTAATTTCTAGTTGTCCCTCTATATCTTCTATTTCTTTTCTTAGCCTTTCTATTTCTTCATTTGCTTCATGTGTTCATAATATGATAGTTCCTTTACAATCCTGGCCAGATAATTCCAACATCTATGTCATCTCGTTATTAGCATCTGTTGATGGGCTTTTATTATTCATTTTGAGAGCTCCCTGGTTCTTGCTGTGACGAGTGATTTTCAGCTGAGGTCTGGACATCTGGTGGATTACGTCATGAGACCCCGGATCTCATGCCAACCTTGTGTTTCAGCAGGCGTCCTCTGACACGGCTCCAGTAGGTGAAGGGGATGCTGCCTGGTTACCCAGGTGGCAGTCCAGGTCCTTCGCTCGCCTCCTCTGACATGCAGGGCTGGGCGGGACTCCTTGTTACTGCTGAGCTGGAGTGGGAGCTCAGGCTCCCCACCAGGTTTCCACCCACATCATCCTAACCAGGAGGGACACCTTGTTCCTGCCACGTGGTGGTAAAAGTCCAGACTCTCCGTGTGGCCTCCACTGACACCATGTGGGGAGGGCAGGCTCATTACTGCCCATGCTCTCCCCAAGGTGAGAGGGGATGAAAGTCCCTGCTCCCCACTCAGTTTTCTCTGCTACCTCCTGGGGGCACCATGTCATAACCTGGCAAGGAAGGAAACCTAGGCTTCCCCACTTAACTACATATGTATATTTTGGTTAATCCTCACCTGAGGATATTTTTCCATTGGTTTTTTAGAGCAAATGGAAGGGAGGGGGACAGATTGAGAGAAACATCTATGTGAGAGAGACACACTGAAGGTTGCTTCCCACAAACATCCCAACTGGGGCCGGGGATCGAGCCTGCAACCGAGGTACATGACATTGACTGGAATTGAACCTGCAACCCTTCAGTCCGAAGGCCAACCCTCCAACCACTGAGCCAAACCAGCTAGGGCCCCCACTGACTTCTGTTGCTAGGGGTGGGGGTGGGGCTGCTGTTTTATTTATGGGGTTTGGCTGGAGTAGGGTTGCTGTTGTCTAACTGTTTTCTGTCTTGCCAGGATGTCCATTTTCTGGGCCTTTGGCCAGAGAGAGCAGGCTTTTCTTCAGGAATTTTTTGTATATGTTGGTGTTGCTGGGTTGCCAGCTCCGCTAGCCTGGGTACATAGGCAAAAAGAAAGAAAGAAATCCTGGAACTCAATGCCCTGGCATTTCTTTGGTCCTGGGGTCCTTCGCCAGTCTGCCTTCATCTCTGCACCTTACAGAGTCTTTTAAGTTTGCTTTACATGCAAACTTCCAAGGTTTTGGTTGTACTGAGTGGGTATGTCTACTCCATCCTCCGGGAAGGGGAATTCTTCATCTCTCAGAAGAAAGCAAGCTGAGGAAAACATCTGATTAATTTTACTACGATTAAAGCAAACATCCTTGACTTGTGGGCACTAGTTGGTCTTTTGCCAACATCCCACCCACCGTGTATCATTATTAATCATGTCCATTAATAATGCCTTTTCTGATTCATCTTTGTTCCCATCCTTATTTCTCAGGGCTCAGCATAGTGTCTGGCACAAAAGATATCCAAGTTTTAATAATAATAACTACTGTTTATTAATTGCATATTATGTGCTGGGCATTTCAAATAAATATTTTGAATTTGTCAGAAAAACTCTACGAGGTAGATATTATTATTCCTATTTTACAAATGAAGAGTGTGAGGCTCAGAGAGGTTAAGGAAGGGAAACCAGACTGAGAGGGATTAGCCAGCCAAAGCCACCCAGATGTGGCAGAGGTGTGAATGCAGGCTTGCCCCAATTCACTGCTATGGCTCCTCAGACCTTGCCATTCTCTTTTGATGATCTACAACAACTATGCCCAGGCCAGCCAGCTGCCCGAGTGGGCCAGAGGCTGGGGCCCCCACACCATTGCTTCTAAAAAAAGAGAATGTAGTCTGGGAATGCGATCTGCTGTTGAGTTCACCACCAGAAGAGGAAACCATACAGGAGGCAAAGGCGTGCATTCTAGAATGTCTAGTAATTCTGGAGAGGTGATTACAAAGTAAGAATGCAGGTTCTAGGGCCAGGATTCCTGAATTCAAATCCTGATCAGGCCACTTAACTCACTATGTGACTTTGGGCAATTTACTCGATTGCTCTGTGTCTCAGTTTGCTCATCATTAAATGGGGACAATGATAGCAGTCCCTTACACCACAGGGTGGTGATGAGGATTAAATGAATTGGGACACATACAGCACTCAGACCAGGGCCTGGCACATAGGGAGTGCTCAGCACATGTTGGCTATATATAAAAGAAAGAACATTAGAAGATGAATCATATTTGGCTCTGCAAACAAGAGCATCCAGTCAAATGAGGGGCGGTGCCTGGGCATCAGAGCGGCCGTTAATAACTGAGCCTGAATGTGGGGAGGGGCAATGGGGACTTCATTGCAGAGGAGACACTTGGTCTGAGTCTTGCAGGTGTGTAGAGGTAGCCGTGGGCTGGTAGAAAGCAGAAACCTAGAAGAGGCACTGGCTGGAGTGGAGCCCCAGAGACTGGAGCCTTAGGTATGTGTCTGGGATAAGGAGCAAGAGGGAAGAGAAAAGGAAGGAGGTCTGGAGGGGGGGGGGGGGGGGGGGGCGGCGGGGGGATGGACCACTGTTCGCTGGGAGACCTGCCCCAGTGAGCAAGTGAAAGAGACAATTCTTTCCAGCTTTTCAGGACTTAGTCACTTCCCACCCCCACCAAGGGTGGGAACTCTTCCTCCTGCCTGGGGGGATGTCAGACTTCTCCGTGGGCAGCTGAGCAGCCCTGGGGGATTTTCATGGCCCCTGAGACTTCCAGCCAGCTGGGGATCTCATTTCCATAAGCATCAAGGTGCTCTTTTTCCACTGTTAATAAAAGATGTGTTCAGCTGACACCTGAGTGGGGATGAGGCTCTGTTGGAGTGACAGATGGCTGTGCTGCTCTGACTAACAGAGGAAGAACCCGGCCCTGAGGGAGCAGGGAGAAGAGACTCAGACAAACAAGAACCACTGCCTGGAGCAGTACCTACAGCCCAAATCATAGCCATTTAATCCAACATATTAAAAATTCACAATTCCTATATGTAACCAATATAAAATATTAATCACTTATTTTACATTCTTTTTGTATTGTCTTCAAATCCAATGTTCATCTTGCACCATGCGTGATGATTTAAATTTAAATAAATTAATATAAAAAAATTCAGTTTCTCAGTCACACTGATGGGGAAAATAAGACATTTTTGGGGGCTTTTTTTGGTCGCCTGGTATTCTATAACAGCACTAACTGCTTTTCAAGTGCTCAGGAGCCACAGGTGGCTACTTTGTTAGTGCAGATTTAGAGCATTTTCATCCCAGAAGGTTCTGTGGGCCAGCCCTGGCCTGGAGGCACCCCAGGGAGCCATTTTCCTGCAGCTGCGTAGGAGACAATGTAATAATCTGCAGGACAGTGAGTACGCTCTGCCAGGGCCCTTGTAAGGGTCTGTAAGGGTTTGTGCAGCCAGCATCTTCACTATGCCTGCTGGAGGCAAACAGAGTTAAAATAAAACTGCCAAATTTTTCTACATAATAGAGGGGGAGGCAGTTGACTTGAGCCATGAGGAAACTGAGGTGTGAAAGAAAGCAACCAAAGAACTTGTGTGCATGTATGTATGAACCATGGACACAGACAATGGGTGGTGAGGGCCTGAGGTGGGGGACAGGGGTGGGCTGGAAGGGGTCGATGGGGGGGAGGGGGGGAAGGGACATATGTAATACTTTCAACAATAAAGATTTTAAAAAAGAAAGAAACTCAGGTGTGAGAGGAGCCGGGGAAAATGTCTTTATAGAGAGGAATGGGGAAGGGGAGTGTCACCCCAACCCTGTGGCAGAAACACGGAAGAAAGACTTGGGGGAAATGGTAAGTGTGGATGGGAGTTTTTTAGTAGAAAACCAGAAGTTAGGCAATGTGACTCCTGTTCTTATCTCAAAACTGCAGTAGACACTCAAGAATCATAAAATGCTGGTGTGCCAGCCACCATATGGACACCGGAGAAGTGGCTGAGTTGAAAACAGGACTTAGGAGTGTGTGTTCATGGAGCATCGTCGAAAGCTTGGCCCTGTGTTAGGCATTTGGGACACGTGAGTAGCTGAGACAGGCCCCCTTCCTGCTCTCTCTCCGCAGTGTGAGTGTGCTACACATGGAGGGGTTCTGGGTGCTTAAAACACGAGAGGTCTGAATCTATTGAGATGGGGGCGGTCACAGAAAGCCCCCCAAGGAAGGCGTGTCTATGTTGGGCTGCGAGGGAAGCACAGAAGCCACCAGAAGGGGTGGGGGTGAGACAGAAGGGGCAGCCAGGCAGTGGAAGGGTGGGGCGCAGGCAGGAGCACCAGGATTCTGTCTCTCTGGTCTGGCCCAGCTCCTTGCTGGCCAAACAGCAGAGTCTCAGTCAATAGTCCCGGCTCACACTGGTCTTGACTGTAAGGACAACTCCCCCGTCCCTCAGCACTGTGCTCGTGCTGGGGACAGAGGGGGCCAAGGAGAGTGGGAGGGTGAATCCCCTTCCTGTGAAGTCCCCTTGGGGCAGAGAGGAGGAAGGGACTTGGAGCTTTTGGACGGTGAGAGGCCCTGGCCGACCATCTGCTCACCTGAGCTCCGTGAGCTTCTTCGCCATGGGCCAGGGCTTGTTGCGCATGTGGGTGATGAGCTTCTTCTTCTCTTCCACCTGCTCCAGGATCCTGGCCAGTTCCTCCTCAGACAGAGACTCCCCAGCAGAGGCGCTGGAGGCCAAGGAGGGCGATCTGGAGGAGAGCCAGGGTAGAGCAGAGAGTGAAAAGGAGGCGCGTGTGGGATCAGAGGAGCCCATGGTCAGACAGATGGGCTGTGCACCAGACACTCACAGCTCTGGCCACCCTAGCAGGCCTGCGCCTGCTCAGAACCCCTCAGTGACTCCCACCTCCTGTAGAAGAGGCCTGTAGCTCTGTCCTGTAGCTCAAGGCACTGGGAGGAAGGCCTCCCCAAATTCTACTTCTCCGAGTCCTCCCCACATACCAGACTCTAGCACCGTGCTGTTCAATAGAAATACAATGTGTGCCACATACTGTAATTTTAAATTTTTTAGTAGCCCCATTAAAGTGCTAAAAGGAAATGGGTAAAATTAATTTTTAATAATGCCTTTCATTTAATCCAATATATTAAAAATTATAATTTCAACATGTAATCAATATAAAAATTATTAATGAGATATTTTCCATTCTTTTTGTATTGTCTTCAAAGTTTGGTGTTCATTTTGCACTCACAGTGGCTGTCAATTCAGACATTAAATTTTCATTAAGCATATCAGATCTGTATTTGAATTTCATAAAATTTATAATTGAAAAAAGTAGATTCGTGTACCTCAATTTTTTGAGACGTACTTAAAAGTTTCCCAACAAATGAAGCAAGTAGCAGAATGTCATTTTCTTTTGACATTTGCATCTGCATTGACAAAAGTTTGTCTTTTTTAAAGAAATGCTTTGGCTTTAAAGTAAAATTGATTTCAAAACTACATCTGTCTGTCCAAGTTAAGTAAATTCACTAACTCTTGGGTCAGCTCTATATTAGCATCCAATTAAAATTAAATTGAATGGGACATTCAGTCCCTTGGTCACACTAGCCACATTGCCAGTGCCCAGCATGTGGCTGGTTGCTGTTGTATGGATGACACTGCTGCAGAGAGCTTTCCGCTGGGCACCCTGTCGTGTGATGACCCTCAGCCTCTCATGGACAGGACTATGTGCTCAGCTGCCACAGAATCCAGATTCTTGTGTGTGCTCCTCACCGCCTCCTTCTGTCATAAGAACAGTGACTCTCAGCTGAGTTTGATTTAATCTGATCAACTTGGTTTAATTGGATCAGAAGGTCACAGTTCGATTCCTAGTCAGGGCACATGTCCAAGTTGTGGGCTCGATCCCCCAGTAGGGGGCATGCAGGACGCAGCCAATCAATGATTCTCTCCCTCTCCCTATCTCTTAAATAAAATATATATATATATCTCCCCTACTAGTCTGTGAGCATCTGGGGAACAAAGCTGAGGCTTTTTCATCTCTCTGTGCCCTGCCATGGGCATGGATGAGTCCTGGTCTGTACTTTGCATCTGCCATCCAGACACTGGTGGTCCGTTTAGGATGGTGCAACTTCCCTCTAAAGTTTGGAACACTCCAAGGCCCATTGACAGTGCATTCAAGTTCGCTTTAAGTTGTTAAGGGCACTACTCACTACTCATCCTTTACCCGCTTAGCTCATGTCCAGGGACAACCAGACAGTAGACAAAAGCCCTAACAGCCAAGGAGGGGTGACAGGAGCAATCAGTGGCCGGTTTGAGGGCCTGAGTTCCATTTCTGTAAAGGTGGAAAGGCACCATGGACAATGACGGGGTGTGGGTGAAGAGGGTTCATTGGAACCTGGGGGAAGGAGTGTCAACTTCACCATGATCCTAATACCTCCACTGTTTCAAAAGCCTCCCCACCCATTACCAACAGGATTCTTCAAACATCTTGAGAAGTGAACAATGCAAAAAGGGGAGGCGAAGAGAGCGAGCTGTCCATTCAAAATTGGGAGCAAAACATGGAACTCAAGTTTTGACTTGTCAATTCTGTAAGCTGGTTCTGTTCATCAACCCACGTGTGCTAGCGCGAATGAACAAAGGAAACAAAACAGATGAAGCAAACCCCAAATCCTCGAACTTCAGAGCTGGTGGAACCCTTGAAGACCTTTTCGATCAATGCTGTGTTTCACAGAAGAGGACACAGGTCCAGATCAGGGAAGTGGTGTACTTAAAGCCCTCCTATGAGTCCTAAATCCAATTTTGTTCATTTCTATCAGCTCCTCTGCAAGAGCTGTGGTGAGTCACCCGCTGGAATCAGGAGACTTGGAGTCTTGTCCGATTCTGCAGCCTCACCTCCCCACTCGGAGCTTCCACTTGCTCTGGTGTGAGATGAGGTGTTGAGTGGAGCGTGCCCAGTGACCACTCCACCTGGATGGCCATGATTCCCCCCAGGTTCTGCCCCAGATTCGGAGAGGTGGGCAGAGGCAAATAGAAGCAGGAGAAGAGAGCAGGGGCAGCCCGTTTATAAGGTTTGGGGGGGGGGTGTCCTCATCAGGAGAGGGAGAAAGATCAGAAGAGGGAAAGCACGATTAAAAACACACCTGAATCAGAGTCACAACACACCTGTGCTTCTTCAGTTGCTTCCACATCTCCTTCTTCGGCACCTCCTTTTCCTTCTTTGGGGATGCTCTCTGCTCCTTAAGGGAAGCCCTCCCATCCTTCTTCTTCCTCCCCTCTCGGGTCCTCTGGGCTGTGCTCCGCTTCTGTTTCCCCAGCTCTTCTCGGTGTCTCCTGTGCTCTACCTGCTTCCTTTGGGGGGAGTCTGGCCTTGGGCTGCCCTTGGCCCGCTCCTGGCCAGCAGGGCCTCCGCACCTGCCTGTCACACCCTCTGCTTTGGGGGCCAGCTTCCTGGAGGGTCTCCTCCCAGACCTGTCACCTGCAGGGGCAGGAAAAAGACAGGTCCCAGCTGTGAGAAATCAGATGTTCAAGATGCTTCTTGGAGCTTGTTGGCTCCAAAGGCCTCTTTTGGAGCCTCTGGTCTTGGGTGAAAATTAATGTCTCCCTCCTTTGACCAGTTTGCACCCCTACACACTCTTGCCTATCCTCAGGTAGAGATCCAGGCACATGCCTTTCTTCTTTCTCTGTGTGCAGTCCCTTGGCCTCAGAGCTGAATCATCTCCTGACTCCCAGGGTCAAGGCCAAGTCTTGGCCTCTGTTTGGTAAGGCTGGATCACTGAGACAGGAAGGACCCAGCTGGCTTCATTCGCCAGGGCTTTTGCCCCTCATGTGCCCCTGCCTGGCATGAGGGAAAGGCTAGGAGGTGAGAGCAGCAGGTCCTGTTCCTCAGCACGGCCGTGCAGGCCACAGGTTCAGTCAGGAGGCAGAGGGAGAGGGGGAATGTGGGCGAGAGCCTTTGTTCTAGTTCCAGAGGGAAGGAATGGATGAGGTAGAGTAAGCAGGGTTAGGGATGGCTGGTTTGAATAATTTCAAAAAGACCCAGAATAGCCTACATAATATTGAAGGAGGAGAACAAAGTTGGTCAACAGACATTATCTAACATCAAGATTTACTATAAAGCTATAATAATCAAGACAGTGTGGTGTTAGTGAAAGAATAGACAAATACACTAATAGAGCAGAATAGAGAGGCCAGAAAAAGACTCACATAAATGTAGCCAACTGAGCTTTGACAAAAGCAGTTCAATGGAGATAGTATGTTTCACCAGATGGTGCTGGAAAACTGGACATTGCATCACATGCAAAATAATAATAATAATAATAATAATATAGACACAGACCTTATACCTTTCACAAAAATTAACTCAAAATGGATCATAGATCTAAATGTAAAATGCAACGGATAAAACTCCCCAAAGATAACAGAAGAGGACACCTAGGTGATCTTGGGTTTTGCAATGACATTTTGAATCCTAAAGCATGATGGATAAGTTAAAAGAAAAAATGGACAAGTTGGACTTCATTAAAATTAAAAAGTTCTCTGCAAAATCACTGTTAAAAAATGAAAAACACAACAACAACACAACAACAACAAAATAAAAATATAAAAAAGAAAGAAAATGAAAAGACAAGTCACAGGTTGGAAGGAAACATTTGCAAAACGCATATCTGAAAAGAATTGGTATCTAAAGTCTACAAAGACCTATTAAAACTCCACAATAAGAAAATAGCTCAATTTAAAAATGTGCAATGGATCTCAACAGGTACCTCTCCAAAGAAATACACAGATGGCAGATAGGTATAAAAAAGAAGCCAACATCATATGTCTTCAGGGACCTATGAATTAAACCAAGAATGACTTGTTAGGTGACTAACAACATTAATTGCTAGTGAGGATGTGGAGTAACAGGAACTCTCATTTATTGCTAGCAGGAATGCAAAATGTTACAGCCACTTTGGAAAACAATTTGGCAGTTTCTTACGATGCTAAACACAGGTTTCCTCTAGAATTCAGCAGTCACACTTGTAGGGGTTTATCCAAATGAACTGAAAACTTAGGTCCACATAAAAACCTGCACACAAATGTTTACAGCAGCTTTACGTATAATTGCCAAAAACTGGAGGCAAACAAGACGTCCTTTAATAAGCAAATGGATAAGTAAACTGTGGTGCATCCAGACAACAGAATATTATTCAGTGATCAAATGAGCTGTGGAGCCCTGAAGAGACACGGAGGGACCGACCTTAAATGCATATTCCTAAGTGAAAGAAGACAGTCTGAAAAGGCTATGTACTATTTGATCCCAACTGTATGACATCTGGGAAAGGCAAAACTATAGAGACAGTGCCCTGGCTGGTGTGGCTCAGCTGGTTGGAGCGTCATCCCGCACACCAAAAGGTGGCAGGTTTGTGGGTTCGATTCCCGTTAGGGCACATACCCAGGTTGTGGGTTCCATCTCCGATTGGAATACATATGGGAGGCAACTGATCTCTCTCTCTCTCTCTCTCTCTCTCTCTCTCTCTCTCTCAAATCAATAAGAAAAAAGCATGTCCTTGGGTGAGGATTTAAAAAATATTTTTAAAAACACCCATGGAGACAATAAAAAGATCAGTGGTTGCCCGGAGTGGAGGGGGAGGGGAGAAGGGATGCTAGGTGGAGCACAGAGCATCTTTTTCAGGGTGTACTAGTCTGTGTGTTATTGTAATGGTGGATGCATGACATTATGCATTTGTCAAAATTTGTACAGACAACACAAAGAGTGACTCCTAATGTAAACTGTGGACTTTAGCTAATAATAATGTATTAATATTGCTTCATCAGTTGTAACAAATGCACCACACTGATGCAAGATGCTAAAAATAGGGGAATCTGGGGGGCGGGGGTAGGAAAGAAGATTGTATATGGGAGCTGTTTCTGTTTTCTATGCAACTTTTCTGTGCATCTGAAGCTGATCCGCTCAGGCTGAGGCGTGACCACAAGGTGAGAGTGAGAACTGAAACCATGTACCCCACGCTCAGCCTGGACATAGAGCCCAAACTACACGTTAGTGTCTGTATGAAGATGACTTTGTGCTATGCCTGTCTTCATTAGCATGGCTTTATTTTTCCAGGAATTTCCTGCCCAGGCAAATGGCTCATTACAGGACTTTCCCACAGATCCGTCACCTCTTCAATGAAATGCATCACAGACAATTTGCACCCTTGGATTCCTTGAAAGCTTTGCCTCAAAATCCCAGCCTTGCTATTTATCATAATTCTTCCCCAATCCTAAACAAGCCCCCACTTTGAAAGACCTGCCTTGAATCAAATTTTCAATTCTCAATAAATTCTGACTTCCCTGCCCCGCTGAGACAGTGCCAAAGCTTGCCTGTAACCAACACATCAGCTTTGTCTTATCAACAGGCTGTGTTCTTCATACTTAGGGAGCCAGCTTTTGACAATAAATTAGATCAACGTATTTTGCTTTTAAAAAGGAGAAATAAACGGCGTACTAAGGAAAGAGGCCATGGAAATAGAGAGTCATGAATTATAATTGGGAGGGTTGAAAACGCCCCTCAAAGAACTGATGTTTATGCTGAATCTTGAAGGATGAACAGGACTTTGCCAAGAGAAGAAAGGGGTAGAGACAGAGAGGGGGTGGTGGTCAACGGTGCAGGGATTGTGAGCCGAGGAAACAGGGCATTGAGGGCCCTCGTGGAAATGCCAAGGGGTCTGGGCATGGGTTACCGAGGCAGAGCTGAGTCTCGGGTAAGATCCCGTGCTGGGGCGGAGAGTGTGGCGAGTAGGGGTTACTCAGAAAACAGTACATGCCCACGGGCAGTTGGATTGAAATCCGAAGGGTGAGGGTGTGATACTGGCGTGTGTTTTGCAGGTTGTGGCCTGCATCAATGGGTCATGCTAGCTGCACTGAAGGGGCTGTCGGGGGCGGGGACACTGGCTCCCAGTCACTGCAGGGCAGGCCCTGTGGGCATGTTTGCTTTACTTGCTGTGAAGGCAGGAAGAGGCATCAAGCAGGACAACAGTCTCCACTGGGACTTGCTTCCCAATTGCTGCAGTCGCTGCAGGGACCTATGAGATCGCTGGTGTAAATCAGCACATTGGAAAGCACTGAGTGCTATTTACAGACTCAAGACAGGAAGCACATGGTGTGTGTGGCGGGCAGGCTCTCTTCGCCCAGTCCTGCCCTAACCGTGTCTTCTCCTTCTCACCTCCTGGGGGAAAAGGGTTGTGGGTAAGACAACGTAAAGAAAGATGATTTGGTCATAATAATAATTCATCCACGTCAGGAAGCTGGTCAGGATCAGCCAGTGAGAGATGGGTTGTCTTGTAGATGCTCTTCGACGGCTCTGGGAGGCTCGGCTCCCTCTTGGAGGCGAGATGGAGCCAGAAACAAATCCTCTCCCTCCAAAGACATGGGAGGAGGGTGAGACTGTGTCGCCGCAGCTGCGACCTCAGGAGAGCCCTAGCACTGAGCCGGGTGGAGGGGAGCCGGGTGGGTGCAGAAGGGGAAGGACTGTGGAGAACCAGACCCAAGCATCCCGCAGACAAGGAGTGGAGCTGGCCCTCCCTCACCCGGCCACAGCGAGGCACACTTTCTCATGCTCGCTCTCATGTCTCTGCAGGGAGCTATGGGCTGGATGGGGTGGCAGGTGGGGTAGGGAGGAGGGACAGTGACCAGGGGGCAGCTGGAGTGTTGAGATGCCAGTGGTGCCTTCGCACCGGCTCCCTCCTGCCCAGAGCCCGGGCTCCCCTGCCCATCCCTTTGTCACAGAGATGCATCACCAAGGACTCAGGCCCCAGGCAGTGGGGGACAATGGGGGACAAGAGGGAAGAACTTGACAGAGGAGACAGAGGAGATGGACCTTGGAGGCAGCTCCCCCACATACTGTGCACCAGGGTGGGGGCCAGAACAAGTCCCTTCCCTTCAAAATGGGGTGGGGAGATCTCTCCCACCCCCCAAAACCATCGCTCCCCAAGATTCTGCTTCCTCACCTGCAAGGGGGGCCCTGACTGGGATGCGAGGAGGAGAAAATGGCATCGTATCCACAGCACGTCTCATGGTATGAAGTGAAGGACGGCCACCCTGTGGGCAGGGCTTCTGCCCTCCTAATGGCAGCGGAGGGTCTTCTCTCCAGCCTATGAGGTCCTCAGAGCAGGACACCCCCTCTGGGTAAGCCCTCGTGGCTCACATTCTGGATGAGAAGAGGATGAGCACCCACTACTGCTGGGGTTTGTGGAGGTTAAGAGTGTGCGGCTGGAGTCTGTGCCTGGGTGTGAGTCCTGACGCCACCCTACCCGCAGGCTGGTGAGTGCTCACTGCTTCCCAAGACTCATCTCAAAGTGTCACAACTCTGGGCGTCTTCCTGACCCCTGGGGCTGCGGGCAGGCCCTCCCTGTGCAGCATCCGCCCCCTCTCCAGTTAAACCTCCTGCTTGGGGAGTTCCCTACAAAGACAGGGAGGAAGGAAGGGAGGAAGGAGGATGGAAGAGATGGCGGCTGGGCTGCCAGCCTGAGTGGGCACTGCAGGCTCCCCGGGAACGAATCACCACCTCACCTGTGCCTGGAGAGCCGCTCCTAGGCCTTCCTCTCGCTCCACCTCCTGCTGTAAGAGACGGACGGGTGAATGGATGGCCTCTGGACAGACCCCCTCCCTGGGCCACCCCCTTTTCACTGTGGGAACCCTCCACCGGTTCACAGCTGCCTCAGCCCAGAACCCGCTCCCATTCCTAGTATTTTACTAACAAGCTCCGGGACCCCCAGTCGTGACATTTCTCTGACACCCTGGAAAAACCGTGAGGTCAGAACATCCCCACAGCTCCCTGCCCCAGGCAGGCAGACAGACAGACAGACAGACAGATTGCCAAGGAAAGGCAACTCTGACCAAGACAGCAGGAGACTGAAAGACCGCGGAGGGCTCTGCCTGCCTCTGCTGCTCGGCGCTCTGCGTTAGCACAGGTGCTGTGCGTGGCTCTGCACCTGCAATTTAAATCCCTCCGACAGTCCTGAAGGGACGGTGGCTGCCTTCACCTCCCCGAGGAGGCAGGGAGGGTCGGATAACCAACCTGAGGTTGCTCGGCAAGCAGGCGGCAGGCCCTGGACTCAAACCAGGTCCCTGTGTCTTGAAAGATCCTTTCTGCCTCCCTGTCCCCTGCGGATACCCAGGAGCCCTGGGGGCGGGCCCCGAAGAGATGTGGACAGACTCACCTTCCTCCCCCAGGCCCTGTGGCTGGTGGCTCATGGTCAGGGCTGGCTGGGCCCCCGCTCGGCTCAGGGGGCTTGCAGGTCCACACACACCTGTAGCCTGGGGTGGTTTCCTGTCCTCATGGCCGCTGACCTCCCTCCCTCGGCCCAAGGGCAGCCAGGGCTCTGCGGCTTGATTGGGATTGAATGTGGAGGTAGGTGAGGTGTGGGAGAGAGGCAGGAAGGAGCCGAGCCCTTCAATCCGGCCACACACTCCTCAGTTCAGGTTTCCCTGGAGAGAGGCGGCGTGGCCTCACCTTTCAGGCATCACTTACAACAGAGGGGCCCGGAGCTGCTGCTCTTCTCCACTTGCACGGGGCCGGCGGAGGTGTGGGGAGCACCCCAGGGCCCTTCCCTCTATCCCGTCCCTGGTTGGAACCAGGCACCAGGGAAGTTCTAGGACGTGTGTGAAAATGATCACCAGGGCTCGGTTTAAAACACGGATTCCCAGGACGCCCCTGGGCATTTGCATCAGGAAGCCGGGCAGGGCCCAGGACCCTGCACTCTGAATCCTGATGTAAGGAGTCCTGAGCCCACAGCGAACCGTTCCCACCCTGCCTCCTGCTCACCGATGGCAGCGCTGCCCGCTGCTGCCCAGCTTCAAAAACGGCAGCTTTGGCTGCTTTGCAAACCATGACCAGAGCCTCAGAGTAGACTCGGGGGAGGGTCACAGGCCCCGAAGGGCAGGGCTCCTAACCGGGGGTCCCTGGAACTGAGAGTCGTGGATGGAATCTTGTGGGTCTGTAAATAATCATGTTTTTCTTTTTCCTGTCCTTTAACTGGAATTTAGCATTTCCCTAAGAACGTGTGATTCTGTCCCCAGTAGAAGTCATATTTTTCATAGCACATTGAGCTGTCGGACTATCTCAAAATATCACGTATGCTGATCGCTGCTTTGAAATGATGATAGTCACAGACCCGCCACTAGATCTTGCTGTTTAATTATTAGGAAGCACGTGTGTCATTATCTGACAGATTCTTAAAAACTATTTGATACCTATTTCAGGATCCTTGGTCTCCTTTGTAATCTCAGTATTTTATCTTCCGGATTTAAAATCAATGCTCTGACCAATGTCTATGGCTCTCACCATAGGATTGACACAATAGGATTAAAAACCTGCCCCAAAGCAAGTCTCCGGGGAGGTGGGTGTCGCAGATAGCCCCAGCCTCCAACCCTCCGGAGCCCCTGGAGACCTTGGTGAAGGGCAGGGGCAAAGGAACCACCACATGTGAAGGCCTCTGAAATGCACTCACAACCCTCCAGCTTTAAAACTTTTCTCTTTGTCACCTGCCTTTCTCTCTGATCTGATGGCTCCTGCCCCAGGGTGCAAGGGCAGCGAGGGACTCTCACTCTCTGTCCTCTCCCTCTACAACTGGGGCCCTGGGTGCCTGCAGCTGGCCCCTCTCCCAGCTGGACAACCCCACTGCAGGGCCCCAGACTGGGCAGCAGGCTGCCTGCCCAGAGCAATGAGGAGCGGCTTCCTGCTGAGGGCGCTCCCAGCTCTCCCGCCCCCTCCCCGGTCCCCTGATGAGCGAGGACCCTCACAGGAGCTCTTGGCCCTGCCCTTCCTGGCTCTCTCTTGTGAAAGGAGGAAGGCTTCCTACCCACCTTCGTCTCCGTCTCCGGAGGGTTCCGTCGTGTTCCAGCCCCAGCTCTGTTTGCACAAAGGAATACACCAGTTTCCTGCTTCCCACAGAGAACAAGGAGCACCCACAGGGCCAGAGCCAGTGGCAGGCACAGGGCACCATCAGGGGGAAAGCAGAGGACCCTGGTGGGTTTATACTCTCTAAGGCGGCTAGGCTTGGTCTGTGGTGCCCGAAGGGGGAGATCCCGGAATTAAAAAAGTTCTTCTCTCTCACAGCAAAGCCCGTATGGGATTCCAAATCCACGTTTGGGAGTCAAACACTGAACACAGAGTATTTTGCTCTATTTGTCACACAGCATCTATATAAATTCCAATGCTCCTGGAGCTATATATACGTTCAGGGGAGCATGAGGTCTTGGAACGTTGGAGGCAAATGAGTCTGACCTCATCTCGGCGGGGCCCATCTGCAGGGGATTGGGTCTTGCAAGGCACAGGGACCCGGGTTTGAGCTATTTGCTCAAGGAGTGAGGAAAGAGAATGACATTGATATTTTAAAACTCCTATCCTGCCCTGGCCGGTTGCTCAGTTGGTTGGAACATCCTCCTGTCCACGAAAAAGGTTGCAGGTTCCATTCCTGGTCCGGGCACATACCTGGGTGGTAGGTAAGATCCCCCACAGCCTATGGAAGCGATTTGGAACATGAGCTTGGAAATCAGTCTAGTTTTGCATGATCTTATGCATGTTATTTATTCTTCCCAAGCCTCTGTTTCCGCATCTGGAAAATGGGGATAAGAGGTTCCTCTTGGGACTTGTGAGGGATTGAAATGTATGAAGGCAGTAAAGGAACCTGCACAGGCCAGAGAACACCAGTAATGGAGAGCTTGTCGCTTGCCTATCCTTGGGATGGGGGATGAGGGGTAGCTGCATGCTCCCCTCGCTCCATGTTCTCCATCATACCTCTGTGTGCCTGTGGTAGCCATGCAGGGGCCTTGCCTCTTCTTTGTCAGGAAGACCCCAGGGCTAGTGCCATGCCAGCCAAGAAACTCTGCTTACCTGTCAGCAGGGAAGTCCCTGGACTCAACCCGAGCCAGAACCCACGAACAGCTCTTTCAGAGGCTGTGCTGGGCAGCTGAGCCCATTCAGGCTGGCTTTCCACTCGGAAGTGATACTTTTTAAGGCTTTGGGCAGCATCTTCCTACCAGAGGGGGGAACCTTGTCTGAGAGGAATAACCACACCGGGTGTCTTGGGGTCATCTGCCGCCCCCCTCCTGCTTCTCTTGCTGCACTGGTTTCACATCCCTGCACACCGTATTGCCTTCTCCTTGCACCCCTCCCACTAGGACCGCGGGGGTCTCACCGGCAGGAATCCTCCAGGGATGGGGGTTGCTTACTCCCTCGTTAAGCTGTTCTTTTCACTGACATGCACACTGGCTTGTGGGTGGTTCATTCTGGTGCCTGATTATGAAAGATTCACAAGCACAGAAAACTCATCACTGGAAGCACCCAGTGCTCTCCTCCCAGGTGGCCGGGCACACACACAAGGTTTGGTCGTTTGGATCCATGGAACCTATGCCAGCCCCCAACCCACTTCCCATGACGCTTTCATCGTGTTGACCACACCTGACAATTTGAATCTCTCCCTCCCTCCCCTGTGTTCCTTTAAGTGTGGAACAGGCCTTGACCCTCCACAACGCCAGGAAAAGGGGTGCCCGGTTTTGTTTGGGGAAAGGGATCAGGGGAGACCTCCAGGAAACAGTGTGCTGAGCTGAGGTTTAAAAATGAGAGGAGGCCAGGGGAGGGCTTCTTGGGCTGAGGCCACAGCCACAGCAGGAACAGGGCCATGTGTCCTTTGGTGTTGCTGGTGGGTAAGTTTGAAGTGAGGCCAGAAGGAGGGTGAGGCCAACTGGAAAGATTGTGGAGACTTGCAACTGTCTTTTAAGGATACAGAACCCTTGTTTTTGTTTGTTTGTTTGTTTTAACTTTTGTTAATCCTCACCCGAGGATATTTTCCCATTGCTTTTTAGAGAGAGTAGAAAGGAGGGGGAGAGATGCAGAGAGAGAAACATCCATGTGAGAGAGACACATCGTTTGGCTGCTTTCCGCACACACCCTGACGAGGACCAGGTATCGAGCCTACAAACCTAGGTACGTGCCCTTGACCAGAATCAAACCCAAGACCGATCAGTACGAGGGCCAACGCTCTATCCACTTAGCCAAACCGACTAAGCCAGAACCCTTGATTCCATAAGGATAAAAATCATCTTTCAAGGATACAAAACTCTGAAGGGTTTTGATCCATGGCACAACAGGTCTCAAACGAACAGAGGGTTAGAAGCAGGTGAGTCATAACCTCTGCAGTGCTGAGTCACTGAAAAGGTTTTGCCATTGGATATGGAAAGTCCAAACACAATATCCGATTATGACTACCAGTGGGAGAGAACAGGTATCCTGCCTGTGGCCACCGGTGGGTCCAGGGCAGGTGGGGTAGCCACAGCTGTGCAAGGTCTTTTCGAGCAGCTGGCTTGGGTGTCACAGTTAGACTGGTGTCCATATTTATCAGACTTCTTCCTGTGGAACTCCGAGCCCACTGAGGATGACTCAGCACTTCGACAAATGTCTGATTCTGCTTACACTCTCCTTGCATCAGTGCTGTCTGCTCTAGGGTGGGGGATCCATAGGGATTTGGACACACACCTTCCCCTGGGGCAAGTGGCAGATTCCTTTTAAAGGAAGAGACCACCAAGACACTTCCCGTTAGATGACAAGCTCCGCTTCTTATTTGGGGCGATGCAGCAAGGTCAATAGTGCATTTCTGAGAATAAACTATATCCCAAATAATTGTCAGGCAGGGCCTGGTGTCTGAGGAGATCCATCAAGCCTCTGGAGCAATTCCTTCTCTGCTTTGCCCTGGAGTTTTGCCTCATCAAGATTTGCCTTTTCTCTGTGGTGATTTCACCACATCTGTAATGTGAAACCTCTTGACTTCACACATTTGCAAGTTTTAAGAAACATAATCTAGTTTGAGGGCAGTGAAACCAAATCAGGTGGCACAAAAACGTGTCTTTTAACTTTTCATAAAATATTCTTGTTTTTATTCTGCTTACCACCGGCTTTAGCTAATTCACACTTGAGTTAATTTTATTGGGCATTCAACTCAAACATGGTTTCAAAGAGTCATAATATTGGAGTGGTGTGCTCTTAATATTTTATCAGGATGGCGGACATTTCTATTGCTAGGGTTGAGGATGGTAATTCTCTTCCAGGGGTGCTGCGGTAATTCTCTTCCAGGGGTGTGGCTTGGTCTTAGAAAACAAAACCCTAAAATTTAATATGACAACGACAAAAATCACATGTCTGGTTTCAAAACCAGGAGTCACAGGGTGTCCAAGTCCAATGGCCCTTTTGTCTCAAAACCCCTGGTTAAGGGGAAAGCATCTTGGGCCATCTTGTTAATTTATCTAGCCAATTAAAAATACATACGTATAATTAGCTGTGGGCATCTGCTTACAAAACATCCAGTGTCGCTCTCAGAACCTTGTAAACCAGCACAATGGGGAGGATCGGGTGACGGGAGGTAACACTCTCGCTGGGCTAATGTGAGCTGGTGCTGTGGCCCGGTCGCTGCCCTTCGCCTGCTGCTCACACCACGGAGCTCCCTGCTGGGCAGTTCGTGGTGCAGGGCAGCGGAGGGGCCGTGGGGAGCGGGACGGCAGCATGCGCCCCTGCCAGCCTTGGGGTGTGTATGTGTGATGAACGGGGTGTTTTTGAGGCTCCTTGGGGCAGCGTCTGGGTTCCTCTGCTTTACTCTGTCATCTTTGAAGGTGGAGCAGAGGGGACTTGTCGGCAAGGAGCTGCTGGGGTTGTCTCTGCCATGTCGGCTCATAGTCAGGAGGGGAGACCTACACCCAGGGATTTGGGATCTGGGCAAGGGGTGACTCCTGCCAGAGATAAGTCAGACAGACCAAGGGATTGGCTGGGCAGGAGGAAAACGGCAGCCGGGCAGTGTCTAGGGGCCGTGACTTTATGTGTCTGCCTCTGCCCCCTCTCCCCAACCCCAGGAGGCAGAGTGTGGACAGAAGAGCTGGGGAGCCAGGATTCTGTCACTTCTTCCTCTAGGGCAGTGGTTCTCAACCTTCCTAATGCCGCGACCCTTTAATACAGTTCCTCATGTTGTGGTGACCCCCAATTTCATTGTTAGAAATTGAACATAATGAAAGCATAGTGATTAATCACAAAAACAATATGTAATTATATATGTGTTTTCCAATGGTCTTAGGCGACCCCTGTGAAAGGGTCGTTCAACCCCCAAAGGGGTCGCGACCCACAGGTTGAGAACCGCTGCTCTAGGGGATAAGGACAATTCATAACTGTAATGCTCCTCACAAGTGAATGTGTTGAATAAAGTCGAACTGCATTTATAGATGTCACCTGAATCACGGGTGACAAGTCCCTCTTCAGTCCCCCACGATGTATGGGCCATAAGAAAGAGCCTGATGACTTCTACACCTTCGTGTTTTCACCTGTTCGGTGGAGGTAACTCTGCTCCGACTCCTGTAAGGGTCCTGGGGACTGGGTGAGCTGACGGCTGTAACTGGAACACCCCAAAGCCCTGAAGGGTTCAGAGGGGTCTCTGGAATACTGCTGTCACTGCTCACAGTCCTGGAGCTCGGGCCCGAGGTGCCCCTGAAGCCCCATGTTTACCAGGGCACAGACCAGCCCCCTTTCCTCTGCTCTGCCACACACCTGCCACAAAGCTCTTGATTTTTTTTAACTTTTTTTTTTTGTTGTTGTTAATCCTCACACAAGGATATTTTTTCCATTAATTTCTAGAGAAAGTGGAAGGGAGGGACAGAGGGAGGGAGGGAGAGAAAGAGAGAAACATCAATGTGGGAGAGACATATTGATTGGTTGCCTCCCGCACGAGCCCTGACTGGGGTGGGGATCGAACCTGAGACTGGTGCACAGGCGGATGCTCTAACCACTGGGCAACAACAGCAGAGGCCAGAGTTTGACCCCCTCCCCGCCCCCACCCCCGACATCAAGTGGACACACCTTGGAGACGTAGTTATACACCATAAAGAGCTTTGTGGTCCTGGCAGGTAACCCAGTGTGGCTGTGTCAGAGCCCAGGGCTGGGAATACCAAACAGGGACAACTTAACAGCCTGACGTTTCTTGGCCCCTTCTCCACAGGACTAACCCCCGCCCCACCTCCACCCAGAAGCTTGGACTTCCACCTGCCACTGTGTCTCTAGCGCTCACTCTTCCCAGCAAGACACCTACTCATCTGATCAACGAGGTCACACACAGTGTGAGAGGTGGGAAGGTCCTTAGCCGAGCTGTGGATTCCCTGTGTTTAAGGACCCTGTGGCTGGACATGGACCAGGGCGAAGGGAGTGGAAAAGGCGCAGGGGACTCACCTACTGAGAGGTGCATGTCCATCGCGGATAATATTTCTCTCCCTGCCATTTGGGTCAACGCTCATCAGTCCTGCTCTCGGACTGTTTGCCTTTCGGGTGCATCTGTCTATTGGCCTCCGTTATGTCCTCCTTGGAGCGTCCTCACTCTTTTGATGTTTGTATTGCCTGTGCCTCCTTCATCTGAGTCTCTGGAATGGAAGGGCAGGACTTAGACCTTGGGTCAAAAATTCCGGATCCAGCTTCGGGTGAACAATTTGGGACTCCTGGGGGGGCAGTGGGGCCTGAGCCTCTGGAGGGGAGAGGGGACCGAGCAACCAGCCTGGTCATCCGGGATCTAGGTCGACTTTGAGAGGGGGACTCAGCTTCTGAATTGAGAGCCGGACCTTGGCCTCTGGGACAGCTGTGCGAAGGTTCCCCATAAAATGTGTCCCCCCCCCCAGCGCTCTGCCGATGCCCACGCGGTTCGAAGGTCAGACCAGGTAGGTGCTCTCCATCCTCCCTGCCTTACTCCAGGGGCCAGGCAGGGACCGGGTGAGGGAGGGCGCTGGCCGGCTGCTGTCGGCAGGACCCGGGGCGTCCCGCCTGAAAGGCCTCACACCTTCCGAACAGGCCCCTGGGGCTCCCCCGCGGTTCTCACTGCCCCGGACCAGAGACTGTGCGGGGGAAGCTGGCTCCTCCGCTTGGTTCCCGCAGTTCTGTCGGGCGCCCTCTGCCGGCCAGGCCATCACTCGGTCATTGCGGCAAACCTGGGGACAGACTCAGAAACATCAGCAGAACCACCGGCCTTTGCGGTGGCCAGGGGAGACTGACCCAGTGGGCCGCAGCACGTTCTTTACCAACGTAAGCATTTGTCGTGCGTTAGAGCAACTGCACATGAATCTTAGTATAATTAAAAGTGACTCATGGAGGGGGTCAATGGGAGAAAAAGGGGACAGATGTAATACTTTCAACAATAAACATTAAAAAAATTTTTTTAAAGTGACTCAGTTCTTTGATCTCAAAAGTAACTTCCTGTGAATTGGAGCGAATATAAATGTAAATAAGGAGTTTACCTCAAAATGAAAACTAAGCTCTATCGACTTCTTACTGTGAGCTAGAGCACATTGGTTCGGAAAGGCACCTGAAATAAACTCAGAAAGACACATCTCACATCTAAATGTCTTATTGCAGGTTAGAGCAAATTAAGATACATCTAAATATTAGCCCTAATCCTAACTTCATATGGGAAATGAGGACAAATTGAGTTTATGGGAAATCAAGCTCTAAAGCACTCATTTAAAATAAAATGCGTGAGCTTTAAGGTGCTATAGAAACTTTCCCTTTGCAAACAAGCTCAGAAACACAGTCACCTCAAATGTACCATCTTCGTGCAAATTAAGTAGGTTGAGTATAAACAATATAAATAGGGTGTCCCAAAAATGTATGCACACTTTGAATAATTATAAAGGCAGTGTTTATTAAAATACATTTCATTTTCAAAATAGAGCTATCAGCTGTTGAAGTGTGTATACATTTCTTTGGGACACCCTGTATATAAGATAAATTAAAAGTACCTTATTATGTTGAGTTAGTGGAAATGAAGATGAAATTAAACGATGTGTCAAACAAGCAGTATGTTGGCAAACAAGCTAAGATGCAGATTTCCCCTCTAAGAAAACTTCTAGTAGTGAGAAAGAGCAAATAAAAATGAGTTAGAACCAATTTAGATAAATCTAAGCAGTATCGGGGAAGATGTCATTATTCCTTAATCTACCTTGTTATGAGGAACGAGAGTAAATATAGTCAGTGCTAAGCATTTTAAGTGCAATCAAGCTCAAAATAACTCCTTTATTTGAAAGGAAACTGTTTATTTCTCTTTCGAAAGAATTCATATGTAACAGTTGATATTGAAACAAGTACAGACTCAAGCACTCTCCAGGTAACTAAGAGTTTAATGTAAGAGTTTTTTTTTTTTATGTGAAATCAATCTTGAAATCACTCATTCATTTCAAACAGATCTTACAAGCTTCCGAAGTACTTTGTAAACTTTAAGTGTGCAAACAAGCTCAGAAACATACATTCATCTCAAAATTTCCTGCTTCCTTCACTGGCTAGGAGTGCCTCGGTCCTGGCACAAAGACAGAGACGGTATTCACGGAGACCACCCGCAACGGTGCTCCTGCTCCCCCTCCAGAAGCCGAGTCTGGATTCTGGCTCCATAGGAAGTCCCTGCCTCTCACTCCAGAGGCCACACCCCTGCTTCTCTCTCCAGAATATACTAGTAAGAACCCACTGCTGGCTCCAGAGCCCAAGTCCCAATCCCCCTTCTAGAGCTGGAGTCTCCCGTTAAGCAATTTTTTCTATCTGGATTCCTTTAGGCAGGTAAGGGGAAGGGTCAAAGTTCCTTTCTGAGTCTCTTGTATCTTACAAATAACCAGCTTAAAATAATCAGTATCCCAAGAGGCACATTTTGGGGTGGAAACTCGGCTTCCCCTCACTAGTAATAAGAAGGTTCTTTTAAGAGCATGCATGAGCTGTAGCCGGTTTGGCTCAGTGGATAGAGCGTCGACCTGCAGACTGAAGGGTCCTGGGTTCGATTCCGGTCAAGGGCATGTACCTTGGTTTCGGGCACATCCCCAGTGGGGGGTGTGCAGGAGGCAGCTGATTGATGTTTCTCTCTCTTTGATGTTTCTAACTCTCTATCCCTCTCCCTTCTTCTCTGTAAAAAATCAATAAAATATATTTAAAAAGAAAGAGCATGCATGATAGTGAACTCATTTTCACAAATACTGCTTTGATTCATTATAATTGCTTATAACTCTCCAAAGAGAAATTCGGAGATCTTTGAAGGTTTGAGGACTTTCTAGTACGTTTGAATCCTTTTGAAGGTTCGTTTGAGAACAGTATGTGATTCAAGTTCATTATCATAAACACTGCTTAGCTACATTGAGTGTGGTTTCATTTGCAGGAAGAAAGTGCAGTTGAGGTAAATGTGTTTTCCTTAGCTTTTTTTTTCTTTTTTTTTTTTTTTTAGTTCAGGTCTTTTCTGAACACGTGTCCTGTCCTAGATATATGCATAGTTTTTAAGAATTACCCAATATTTACAGGAGCTTTTTGTCTTGTTTTGTTTTTATTGATTTTTAGAGACAGAGGAAAGGAGAGAGAGAGAAACATCGATGTGAGAAGCATTGATCAGCTGCTTCCTGCATGCCCCCTCCTGGGGATGGAGTCCACCACCTGGGGCATGTGCCCTGACTGGGAATTGAACCTAAACCTTTTGGTGCATGGGATGATGCTCAACCAACTGAGCTACACTGGCCAGGGCAGGAGCTTTTTAATGCCCTAAATTCCCAAAGAAATTCTCTCCCCAGCTTTTCCTGCCAGGCTTTCGGCATTCTGTTGTTTGCCTCAACTGTGATCTTTTGCTCCAGATGGCAATTGGTTGTCCGTTTGCTTTCCAGTGTTTTGGGGGAATGCTCTCTTCATAACTCCTTTTCTGTTCTATGAGTTCATTCGGCAAAACAAGGGGGCAGGCACCTGTATCAGTCCTTTAAGCAGTCTCCAGAGAGGTCAGAACAAAATTCGTAGAGAGACCCTTCAGTGCACAGGCCAACACTCTAACAACTGGCAGGGCTCCCACTTTTTATATAGTTGAGCAGATAAAACCCATCACAAACACTTTAAAATTAATGACAAGTAGTCCTCTTTTAAGAGGATTTTACAAACATTGTTTGCTGTACAATTCATCCCAAGGTCACCTGGTAATTAGAGTAGTCATGTGCTAGTTAATTGCCTTTATTTGAAAGAAAAACAAAACTTCTCTTATCTCTGTGATGAGCAGGTATTTATAGTTTGGAGCAAGGCATCTAAACTAAACTCTCCAAGTGACAAAGATAAGAAGCAATATCTTCCTTAATGTTTACATTTCAGAGATGGCTCCCAGGTCTTTAAGAAAAATATTCCTAGATTATAAAATGGTCAACATACTTTTCAGCCGTTAAAAAAATTTTACATAGATATCAAAGGAGCACATTTACAAACAGGTTTCTCAATAAAATACTCTAAGAAAATGGAGGGAGGAAACTATGTATTTCCTTTGTGGCAAAGGTGAAAACTAAATTAAACTTCATTTACCATTAATTACTATTTAAACGCTATTCCTATGAGCTGAACTAGGTCTGCTTTGCAGAAGCCCTGTTAAAAAAGAGGCATCAGGCCACCAAGAGTGTCGCTTGTGCTAAGCCCACGTCACCAAACCAAAACCTAATGCTTTAGTTTTGTAGCAGGACAGTAAGTAAGAAGCTAGGAAAATCCCCGGGCAAGTGGAATGGGGAAACAAGAAAATTAAACAAGACCAAACAGTTTGGGCAGCTTGCAGCCAGCTTGTGAATTCCAAGACCTTATCTTCCCTAACCAAGAGAGTCGTGAGAGCAAATGGTTTATATCCTCCTCCCTAACCAGAGAATACATAGCTGAAGTCACCCAGGCCTGGCAAAATAGAGAACAAAGACCCAATTAATGCATTTTCGCCAGCTAGACAAAAGGACAGATGAACTTGGGGAACAGATAACAAAAACCCCATTAAAGCCAGATGGACCTAACATAAAAGTAAAACCGTACAACAGACAAAGAATAATACAAAACTCCCCTATACGCTCATTTTAATGCATCAGCATATTAAAAATGCACCCGGAAAGTTGATGAATATACTACTAAACCCCCTCCTCCCCCCAAGATTCTCACCTGCAGGGAAAAAAAAAGGATAAAAAGCCCTCAGGACAAAGACTTGATGTGGGCTCTCGCTAGAGCCTTCCCGGGCACGAGCTTTTTATTTCTAAGGGTCCCCACAAGACTTGCAGCCGGGGGAGCGGTGGGCAGTGGCAGCTCGACCTGGGCTCACCTCCTGATCCTGTCTCCACTTCCCAGGGAGCTGAAGCAGCCCTGCCTTGCTCACTTCTTTCCTATAACCTTTCTAGAGCCAAAGCAGCCCCGCCTCGGCTCTCCCCGTCGTTTCTTCTACTCTAATTTCTTCCTTTGTGTCATTGTCCCCAGCATTAATACACATATTCTCAAACCCATCTGGACTCATGTTGCGAAATCTTTCCTACCCAAAGCCAAGCAGCCACATATCACAGACGGGCCTGGGGCAGACCTACTAAGGGCCAGCCCCTGTCCAGTAAGTTTCAACCTCTCCCAGAAATGAAATCTTAAACCAGTCAGTATGGAATTACCTGGTCAGCACTCTTGAGGAGGTAATTTTCTCATAGACCCCTAAGGGTCTTTGAGACCCTTGCCTGAAAGAATCCACTCTGTCCACAGCTTCCTTGTCCCCCTGAACCCTTCTGCCCATAAAAATCTATTTTGTATAGCTCTTCAGAGCTCTTTTCTCTTTGCTAGATCTTCAAATGCACTCAGTTGATTTTTTTTTGTAATGCCCTTGACCGGAATCGAACCCAGGACCCTTTGGTCTGCAGGCTGATGCTCTATCCACTGAGCCAAACTGGCTAGGGCTGAATTTTGTTTTTTTTTTTAAACATCCAGATTCTAGATAATAGGCCAGAGAGCCAAGCTCAGCATGTGTGAGTGAGGCTTCTGTCCTCCAGGACCTGGATGAGAATTTGTCACTAAGTTTGAGGACTTGGACAAGAGGATACCCACTATGTAGCATCCAAAGTGGGCGACTGCTTTGCCTTCCTGTTTCTCCTGCCAGTAAAGTGGGGATGCCCACAGGGGTGCGCGGGTGGCACGAAGCCACACTTACATGGCGCTCAAGCCCAGGGCATTTAGCTGGGCCTGGGAGTAAAAACACAAGCCAAAGCGCAGAAAAGGCTCCCAGCCCGCACTCTGCACCAGCCAGACCGTCAACCGGAAATGCCTCTATTGCACGGAACTCTTCACCCGCCGGAGGAGCGGGGTGCGGAACCCTTCTGCAGAAGCTGCCGTAGAGATTTCTGGGAAGTGTAGTCTTTCCAGCGGACGAGTAGAAGGAACAGACTTCACTCCGGAATCACTGCCTGTCTTAGTTATTTTTTGGTTATTAAAAAAATTAACTTTAGAGAGAGGCCTGCCTCAGGCCGGTTTGTTGCTCCACTTACTTATGCATTTGTGGGTTGATTGTTTTTTGTTGTTTGTTTTTCGTTGGTGGGTTCTTGTATGTGCCCTGACGCGGGATGGAAGCTGCAACCTCGGCGTGTGAGAGGACGCGCTAACCCGCTGAGCACCCGGCCGAGGCCATCACTGCCTGTTTTGTGCGTGGGCATCTTAATAAAAGAGACGGATAGGCTGTCACTGCAACAGGCATTGTCCAGTAAATTAACCTCGTGGCCGCAGCCTCTCCCCGGGCGGCCATTGGGGGCGGAGCCTGCGGGGATGCTGGGAGCTGTGCTGGCGCCGTTGATCGGCGCAGGGCTGGGTGGACCTACCCCGCTGACGCTGGTGAGCGAACCGCCGAGGCCCTTTGCGGTGCTGGCAGGAGGAGCGGGGCCCCGCGGGGTTAGGGACCTGGTGGAGTGAGGCTGGTGGAGGAGTGGCCGCAAGTCCGGGAGGTTTCGTTTTGGAAATGGGGCGCGGCCCCAGGTGCGCCTTTGGGGGCGGGGAATGGGGTGAGACGCTCCGTGCTGCGCGCTAGGGGACCTTCCGTCTCCGGCTGGGGCGACTGAGCTGGAACTGTGGTTTCTCTTTTGAAGGAGGTGGGATTATTTATTCTGGACCAGACAACGAAGAGGGAGGCGGCTGCAGTCGAGCACCCCGGGGTTTATTTGGGCCGTGCACACGAGTTCAGCCAGGCATCCCCTGGGGTGGGGTTGGGGCGCGGATTCGGCCATATAGCTCCTTGCGTCTTTCTAGCAAGGGAACCCCTACCTGGGTCCTGCGTGTCCGAGTGGTTGTGAGTATGAAGAATTGGGTTTTTGTTTGTTTGCTTGCTTTGGTGGGGCTGAGTGTGGCTCAAGTAGTGATGGGGTGGGGACGGGGTTGGGGTGGGGAATCGCAGTGCTTAGGTTTGGGGGTGGGGTGGGTGGTGAGCTTCCTGTGGGCAGAATACACCTCCTAGGCCCTAGGGGGTCGTGGGGAGTGGCTTGGGTCTGGAGTCCTGGGGCTTTAGGGGTGGGGGAGGTGTGGGCCTAGGACGGACATCTGGTGATGGTGGGTACCACCCGACCTTGGCCTGCGTTTAGGCAGTTTTTTGAGTGGGGATGAGACTGCTTCAGGGGCACCTGCTGTCCCGGGGCTTGTCATGGGGCAGGGGCTCGCTCTGCTTTGTGGCAAAGATCCCGGTTTGGCTGTAAATGCCCGTGGCCAGTTTTACTGATTCTCCCTCTCCTTGTCTGCTCTTCTCTCATGTGTTGGTGGTCAAACCTCTGGATTAGGGTTTAGGGAATTAACCTCTGGATTCGGGTTAAGGGAATGTAGGTAGGGTGGGAACTTCTGAAGGGCTGTTGGCTGACTATCCAAATCACTTGTGGCATCTGGTGAGGCCTAGATATCAGGACTTAAACTTTCATTTTATTTTTATTTTTTGGTAAGGATAGATTTTAAACCTGCCCAGTACGTGAACCCCATGAACCTATCACCAGATCCAGCATTTATTAATTCACTGCTAATCTTTACACCTCCTCAACCCTATGTGTGAATATACTTTGAGACTAGTCACACCCCACAGGGCTTGGCCACTACTAACCTTCCCACTGACAGCTGGCTAAGGACACGCCACGGCTAGAGCTCAAATCTAGGCACTTTCTAGCTCTTCAACATGAGCAAGATTCATAACTCTGCCTCAGTTTATCACAAGACCTAACTCATGGGGCCTTTGGGAGGTAAAAATTGTACAGAGCCTGGTATACAGTAAGAGTTTTTAGTAATTGTTAAATATTACTAATGATATTACAACTCGAGGCCCATAGACACCGAAGGGTTCTAACAGGTCCCCCTAAGATGTGCTACTTTGGCATGTGAATTATTTTGAGGTGAAGGCCGTTGAGACCCTGCGGGCTCACAAGAAACTTGTACCTCTCCCTTAAAGAATTTAAACTTGGGACCTTGTCTCTTCAGAGTTATCACCAGAAATAACTTTTTATGACCTAGGGAGCAGGGCAAACCTGTGATTCCTGAACATCTGCTCTTTATCGTACTGCAAATGACCTTCCTCCCTCTGAAGCCTTACCTCATCCTGAGCTCAGAATGCCATACGAACCTCATTTTCCTTTCTGTGTGGGTGTCTCTGACTCGCTCCTGTATTCGGGGTTTCCATATGTCCGTATGTAATTAGATTCAGTTATTTTCTCTTATTGATCGAATCTGCCCCTGTAAATTTAATTATCAGGCCAGCCAGACGGACCTAGGAAGGCAGAGGGACATTTCTTCCTCCCACAGTGCGAAAGAGATTCCTTACTTCATAGCAGCCTGTCAGGGTGGGCTGTGTTCTGATGCCCATTGTTGACTCTGCCCCCAGAAGCTGTCTACTTCCTTCTCTGGCAGGTCTGAGGCTTTTTTTTAAAGGAAGAGGAGCACCCCTTATTTCAGACTTGGCGATTTCTAGCCTGGTATCTGGGGCTGAGAGACAGTCCTGAGGTTCACAGTTCCTGTTTTAACCTCAGGTCCACGTTCTCATATCCGTGCTGCCCAGAGAGGATTGCATAGAGAAAACGGGCTCCTGGCAGCCCCGTTAAGGTGGCACCACACACTGTTCACGTTCTTAGGGTGTTTTCTTTGCTCCAAACCGTGGGTGAATTTCCTCTGCTCATTCTGACATCTTGAGTCCTGCAATGTCCCATTTGAGGCTTTTTGGTTCTTGTGAGGGCTGCACTTTTTAAAAAATATATATATTGATGTTTTACAGAGAGGAAGGGAGAGGGATAGAGAGTTAGAAACATCGATGAGAGAGAAACATAGATCAGCTGCCTCCTGCACACCTCCTACTGGGGATGTGCCTGCAACCAAGGTACATGCCCTTGACCGGATTCGAACCTGGGACCCCTCAGTCCCCAGGCCAAAGCTCTATCCAGTGAGCCAAACCAGCTAGGGGAGGGCTGCACTTTTTTATACTCTTGTGTGGCTCTTGATGAAGCCATAAAAAGGCTTATTGGTTTGAGTGGCTAAGTTTCTACATGTCAAGATCTGTTGATGATGATGGATCTTTTAAAAAAATATATATATTTTTTGATTTCAGAGAGGATGGGAGAGGGAGAGAAATAGAACATCAATGATGAGAGAGAATCATTGATTGGCTGCCTCCTACACACCCCAACTGGGGATCAAGCCTGAAACCCAGGATATGCCCTGACCAGGAATCAAGGCATGATCTCCTGGTTCATACGTCGACACTTAACCACTGAGCCATGCCAGTCTGGCGATGATGGATCTTTTGAACTGGAAAAACTTGTAAATTGAAAAAAAAGACATATATATATATATATATATTTTTTTTTAGAGAGCTCTCATATCATTATGCTGGCGAGTCATTATAGTCCCCCATTCTGTATATCTGATTTGGAAGAACTTGCTTTTAAGTGCACTTTTAAATGGTCTAATCTAATTGGAATGTTCTTCATAGTAGCCACTGTAGTTTTTTTAGGTTATAATTTCCTTGAGGGTTAGCAGCAGTTTGGTAGGACCTTGGCCGAAAATGGAGTTTGGCCTACATTTCTTTTTGGCTGTATTTTGAAGCTTCCAATCCAATAGTTACCAAGATAAGGTCTTAGGACATAAAATTTTTAGATTGTCTTTAATAGGATTTTGCCAGTTTTTTTTTCTTTCCTTTCTCTTCTTACATGCAGAATGATTGTACTTATAATGTCCTGATTTTTAAAATAATATCTATAAACGTCTAAAGGTATTTGTTCACTGGGCATTATTTTAGGGAATGGTGAAGAAAAAGGGCTTTGGAATGAAAATTTTGGATTCTAGGCTTGGCTTTGACACTGGGTCGCTGTGTGATCTTAAGACAAGTAAACGGACCTCTTATGCCTTAGTTTCCTCCTCTGTGAGAAGTGTCTACCTCTTGGCTGTGTTGTGAAGATTCATAGAACTCTGCGCTTAGTACAGTACCTGTTTTATAAACACTAACTATAAATACTAGCATTCGTGGGAGGAAAAGGGCTATATTTATCAGCTTAGGCTAAGTTGTACTCCAGTAACAACTCCCATATCTCAGTGACCCACAATCTAACCTTAAACCTAGTCTGATCCCTCCTCCTTTGTAGGTTGGCTCAGCACCATGACCTTTTATAGTAGAAGGAAGGCCACTTCTTGGAAACATGCTGCTCTCAGAACATGAGAGATGGTTGAATCATGCAATGCTTAGAAGTGGCATGTCACTTTCTCTCACTTTTCATTGTCTTAGGCAAGACCTGATGTCACGGGCAGGAAGTACAGTCCTTATAGAGAGAAACAAATAATTGGGAACAATCATCAAATCTACCACAAAGGACTGTTTTATTCTAATCACTAGTAGTGAAACCCCTGAGATGCGTTTCGTCTTATAAGAAGCTCGAATTCTAGTAAAGAGAGTCATAGACATAGAAAAATTGCAAGATGGTGTGATTAAGGTGAGATGCCCAGATTGGACAGAAGAGTGAGTGACCATCTCTACCTGTGTTGTTAGGGGATGAATCAAAAGGGCTTCTTAGAGGAGCCCTAGCTAGTCTCAGAAGGGAACTTGGCAACAGCAGAACTGCAGTCACTTGGACTGAGATTCTGGACAGGGTGTCTGAGTTGCTTCTGCAGGTGGGATAGCTCCTAACACCACCTGCCTCCTTGGGACCACGTGGGTGGAGGATTTCAGATTGGGCCCATCAGGAGACACCCATGCACATCACTGATGAGGCCTTATGGCATACATGTGCAGAAAAGAAGGTGTGTGTGTGGGAGGGTATCTGTACAGAGTCACTGTGAGATTTGGAGCTCTACCTAAAGTAAGAAGGGCTTGGTTTAGACACGGTCCCCCCCCCACGAGTACTGGGACATAGGGGATGGAATACATTCAGAACAGCAGGAGGGGAGTTCTGGATGCCCCAATTGGTCTGGAAGGAGACATTCCATAGGCATTATGCTATGTCTTCTCTCTGACTCAGGCTCCAAGTGGCAGAGATTGTATAGAACACATGGAGCTTGAATCTGAGGTGTGGGGGTGGGAGGGAATTGCCAATTTTGTCACATAAGGGAGAGTGGCAGGGACAGACTTGAGAGCTGGAAAGGAATGAGGTAAAAAAATCCAAGGAGCCCAGCCAGCTCTGTGGTTGAGCATCGACTTGTGAACCAGGAGGTCACAGTTCTGATTCCTGGTCGGGGCACATGCCCGGGCTCTGTCCCCAGTGGGGGGCGTGCAGGAGGCAGCCGATCAATGATGCTCTCTCATCATTGATGTTTCTATCTCTCTGAAATAAACAAAAATATATTTTTTGGGGAAAAAAATCCAGGAACGCCCCCCATGGACTGAGACTCCATATTTGTTGAATGAGGAGGATGTGAGAGGACAGGACCCTCGTGAGGAGGCCTGGGCTTAGGGCCTCCATTAAAGATCCTGGCAACGTCAAATTTCTTCTCCATCCACAGGTCCTGGCTTCGTGGAAACAAGATGGGCGTTGACAAGTAAGGCTCAGAGAAGTCACTCAGGCAGCGGAGCTCGATCTTGCGGTGAAATGGCTTCTAGCTGGACTTCGGGTAGAATTCCAAGGCAGACACGGGGCTGACTCGGGCCCTGACGTTGCCTGACCCTCTGCCTGGGGAGGGCAGGACAGGGAAGGGAGTTTGCCTTTGGCGAGCAGGGAAGCTATGCAGACCATGAAGAAATGGACTCAGAGTCATAAGGCAAAAGGTGAGAGTTGTTGGGAGTGTGGAGATGAAGAGGGAGAGCAAGGCTCGGGTTTAGCTGAGCTCTAGTGGCCTCAGCTGAGTAAAGGGACTGCTTCCCCCATCACCAGGCTTAGAGGAGCTACTCTGGGAGCATCATGGGAACTGCTTTCTCACAGCTGCTTTTTCTTCCCCGAGGTTTGCCTTCTAATGATACTGACCGGCTCCAGAAAACGGAGGGAAAGCCCGAAATACTGGTGAGCTTGGATTACTGTTTTTTTTTAGTTTTGTTTTGTTTTTAAATGAAATGCTGGCTCGTTTTTCAGAGCATAGGCATATTGTGTATTCTCTTTATTGGGAAGGGAACAGGCAATCAACAAGTCACTTTATAATGATTCCTGCATTTGTGTGTTTTATTTCCCTTTATTTTATTTTCAAGATTAATAGTTAGAGTCCAGAAAACTTTAAAGCATAAGAGATATATTTTTAAAAATTGCTTTAAATTCTTACCCGAGGATATGTTTCTCATAGATTTTTTTTTAGAGAAAGGGAGAAAGAGAGAGAGAGAGAGAGAGAGAAAGAGAAAAAGAAATACTGATGTGAGAGAGAAACATCGATTGGTTGCCTCCTGTACATATCCCGACTGGGGACTGAACCTGTAGCCTAGGTGTGTGCCCTGACTGGAATGGAATCTGCCACCTTTGGGTGTTCAGGACGACACTCCAACCAACTGAGCTACTGGCCAGGACAACATAAGAGAGCTTTTTGAAAAACTGAGATTATTAAAAATTGTAAATGTACTATTAACTTTCACTTTACACCCACACTACCTAACGATAATATCTTTTGCACTGGACATTTTTACTATTGAAATTTTGAACATACATAGAAGTAGAGAGCATAGTAATAATAGGGCCTCAGGTGCCATCACATAGCTTCAGTAGTCATCCACAATGGCCAGTTTTGTTTAATTTCTACCCTTCTCATGTCTCTCACTGGATTGCTTTTGACACATTTCAGACATTTCGTAACAATGTCTCTATAATTTTTAAAAATAGTGGTAAGAGGGTAGTAGTGGTGGTAATTCCAGAGCGAGGAACTATGTCTTAAAGGGGTTTGTGATTTGCGCATGGCCATACCATCAGTTGATAGTAGAGCCAGGATTTGAACTTGGTTTTCTCTGACTCTCAAGCTCTGGAGCTTCCAGTGTGTTGTATTTTGGACTCTTTCTGCGACATAAATCCCCATCTAGTAACATGGGAGCGTATTTTCCAGCCCTAGGAAATGGGCCTGGATTATTTGATGAATGACTCATATAGAGTGCTCTCCGTAGTTAACGGTGCTTCACCCCTACTCCACTTCTTCCATCTTCTTTCCTTTAAATTTGATGTATTCTTTCATGTGAATGGTGCGTGTGCGATTCTACAAGCCAAATTAATAGGTTTATAAGTAGACTGTCCTTATCTGCAAGGAGCATTCAAGTTCTTTGGAAAAATAATGTATGAAAAAAGAAATGATGACAATAATTAGTAACTTTTACAATAATAGTTGAGATGGTTACATAACTGCTAGCCTAAAGCTTCAAACCATGTGCAGCCGCTCACAGTTTATTGACAGTCAGCTCACAGGACACGTGAGCGCGTTTGGAACGCTGGTGTGAGGCGCTCCACAGACACTCTCCCCGGTGAAACAACCGGAATGATTTAAAAAACTCCACCATTAAACCCAACCATTTAAAGTCTCTGAAAATTCTCCTAAGGACGGATAGCAAGTGGAGAAACATTTACTCAAGGAAATCTGTGTTTTAGCCCTGGCCGGGTAGCTCAGTTGGTTCGCGCATCATCCCGATATGCCAAGGTTTCCAGTTCGATCCCCAGTCAGGGCATATACAGGAATGAACCAATGAATGCATAAATAAGCGGAACAACTAATCGATGTTTCTCTCTCAAATCAATACTTTTTTTTTTTTAAAAAAAAGAAGAGAAAATCTAAGTCTCAGTGAAAACAGCAAATCTGTGGCACTTGTCCCACCCATAATTTGCTCCGTCTGCCCACCCTTCAGCTCACCATAGTGGGAGCTCTATTCCAAGTGGGTACAGCAAGATAGTGGGGCTCTTTCTCCTCCCAGTTCCCAGTCTAGGACTGTACTTTTTCCCTGGGGAGATAAGCCACCAGCAGTTCTCATTCCCTCCGGATCAGTGTTGCAGGCGAGGGGCAGAGAGGTCTGGGGTTTTCATTCTCCACAGCCCCTGTTGGTGGGCTAGAAGCTCTGTCCCAGGCCTAGGAGGTCAAGAATCAGTAAGGACCCTATTGCCTTCTCCCCTTCCTCAGAGGGCAGAGATTCTGTGCCAGGAGAGGCAAGCTGAGAAGAAAGGAGCTTCCACCCCCACAGCCCCCCATCCCCCAGGGTACCACTCTTAGAGCAGGAATGTCACTCTGAGAGAAGTGGCTGCCAATTCTGCTCCCAGCTCTAAGCACTGGTGCAGAGACCCTGCCCAGGGGGAGAGGCAGGTTGGAAGAACAAAGGCCAGTGTAGCACTCCTTAAGGCCCTGGCTTTATTTGGAACAGAGCATAAGGATGTTGAAACCTAAGAGTGCTCTTGAGAACAATGGAGATTTTTGTGGTGAGCAATTAAGAGGCAGCTTCAAGATCCATGATAGCAACAAGCAAAATGGCAAATCAGCTAAAAGTTTAAGGGAGAGAACCAGGGAAAGAGCTGAGAAGAGCCCTGCTGGAGCCTCAAATACTGGCCTTAAAACTATCCCTGTAGCCCAGTCGGCATGGCTCAGTGGTTGAGCGTGGACCTATGAACCAGGAGGTCACGGTTCGATTCCCGGTCTGGGCACATGCCCGGGTTGTGGGCTTGATCCCCAATGGGGGATGTGCAGGAGGCAGCTGATCAGTGATTCTCTCTGATCTTTCTATCTCTTTCTCCCTTCATCTCTGAAATCAGTAAAAATATATTTTAAAAAAACCTACCCCTGTAAAAGGGACAGGGCCTGACTTTAATTGGGTCAGACAGTGGAGCCATTTATTCCCTAAGACGTTGTTGAAAACAGTAGAGTAATCAGCTAGCTATTGGTGGAGGCTAGCTGGGTGTGATACCAATATAGTCAGGCCGGAGAGACACAAGAGAATCCTGCTAAAAAGACTGTCATTTCTGGAGGGGGAGGGTCAGGGTGTGCATGTCCAAGGCTTCATCTGCTGACAAACCACAGTTTCAGGGACAATAGCCTTTCTTGAACTAGTCCACACCTGTCAGAAAACATGAACAAGTGACCACAGCAGCCGCCTGGGGAGGGGGCAGGGTTGGTATCCAGAGTTGCTACAGACTTTTACTAAAATGTCCAGTATTCAACAAAAAATTACATAGGTAGGGAGAGAGGCATGGGGAGAAAGAAAGAATACATTCATATGAGAATGAGAGAAAGTGTAAATAAATTTTCCTGATATGGAAAATGAAAACAACCTTTCAGTTCTGTGTTAAATTATAATCTCCTCTTGGATTGTAAATTTATTCTCCTCTTACTGGTTATGAGTTGTTTGTTGGACACAGAGTTCCTTTTGAAGATGTTTTTAATTGAATTTTTTAGAGAGAGGAAGGGAGAGGGAGAGAGAGAGAAAAATTGATGTGAGAGCTACCTCCTGCATGCCTCCTAGATGGAGCCTGTAATCCGGGCATGTGCCCTGACTGGGAGTGGAACTGGCAACCTTTTGGTGCACTGCACAACGCCCAACCAACTGAGCCTCTTCGGCTGGGCACAAAGTTACTTTTAAATGGGAGTTTTCCAGCCCATGCTGAACTCTTCCATCTCAGAATTCTTCCATAATGAATCCTCAAGGTCACTTTTCTGAATTCTGCTTCATGTTTCAAATTGATTCACAAATCATTTATCAAAAAAATCCTAAGTGTCCAAGGGCCAGGAATGTGTTGTATACCTCAGTTATGCTACCCTCAGATTTTTAAAAAATATATATTTTTATTGATTTCAGAGAGGAAAGGAGAGAGAGAGAGAGAGAGAGAGAGAGAGAGAGAGAGAAAGAAAGAGAATGAATCATCAATGATGAGAGAGAATCATTGATCAGCTGCCTGCTGTGTGCGCTACACGGGATTGAGCCCATAACCTGGGCATATGCCCTGACTGGGAATTGAATGAACCGTGACCTCCTGGTTCATAGGTCAATGCTCAACCACTGAACCACGCCAATCGGACACTATCCCCAGATTTTAACACACATAATGGCTAGAAGAATTTGATATGGAGAACTGTGTACCCTGAAAAGAATTAGACCAACTCTTACATATCAAGACTCTCCAGGGCCACTAGATAGACTCCTCGCACGGGGAAAATGGACGGTGACTTGCTGTTCATTAATTGTTGCTTGTTTATAGGTACCAGTTACATTCAGGGACGTGGCTGTGGTCTTCACACAGGCAGAATGGAAGCTCCTGAGCTCTAAGCAGAGGATCCTGTACAAAGAAGTGATGCTGGAGAATTACAGGAACCTGCTTTCGTTGGGTGAGGCTATGGTCTTTCCTTCATTAATTCAGTAGAGATTTATGGGCCACTTATCCTGTGCCAGAAAAAGTCCTAGACACTTAGAACAAACACATTAGTCAATGAAATAGTAACCCCTGCCCATGGGGGCTTTTTCTAGTGTATGGAGACAGACAACAAATAGCTTCATATACAGCAGTGGTTCTCAACCTTCCTAATGCCGCGACCCTTTAATACAGTTCCTCATGTTGTGGTGACCCCCAACCATAAAATTATTTTCGTTGCTCCTTCATAACTGTAATTTTGCTACTGTTATGAATCGTCATGTAAATATCTGATATGCAGGATGTATTTTCATTGTTACAAATTGAACATAATTAAAGCATGGTGATTAATCACAAAAACAACATGTAATTATATATGTGTTTTCCGATGGTCTTAGGCGACCCCTGTGAAAGGGTTGTTCGACCCACAGGTTGAGAACCGCTGATATACGGGGATGTTATGTTAGAAAGGGATAAGCACTACCTAGTAAAAAAATAATAATGAAATGAAGCAGGATAAAGGAGCATTGAGTGTGACAGGGTGGCTGGCTGAATTTTGAAATCAGTTAATGGAAATCAGCGAGGAGGGAACATTTGACCAAAGACAGAAAGTGGTGAGGGAGTTAGAACTCTGGCTCTCTAGGGCAAGGGCATTTCAGGTGCAGACTTATTTGGTGCTAAGACCTTAAGGAAGGGATATGCCTGTGGGTAGAAGGAATTGAGACTGGAAGCACAGTTAGCAAGGGGGAGAGTGGTGAGAAATGCCTTCTGTGACAGAAGTTGAAATTAAATGTCAGAGTTTGTATGGCTTTTGAGTTTCATAGCCAGATTATTTCTTTTATTTAAAACATACATTTATTCATTAAGTCTAGGTTGATAAATGCTTTTGATTGCAATGTTACTCTGTTTCAGGGATTGGCCACTTTTTCTACAAAGGGCCAGATTGTGACTATTTTAGGTTTTGTGGGTGATATGGTCTCTAACCACTCTCAACTCTGCCCTAGTAGTGCTAAAGTAGCCACAGATGATGCGTAAATGAGTATGACTGTGTTCCAAGAAGACTTTATTTGTGGACATTGAATTTTGAATTTCATGTAATTTTTATATATCATGAACTATTACTCTTTTGACTTGTTTTCAACTCTTTAAAAATTTAAAAACCATTCTTAGCTTGTAGACTGTACAAAAACAGAGGGCAGGATGGTGGTTTTAGGCTGTAGTTCCCCCCCAACCCCCCTTTGTTCTAGATCAGCGCTATGTAGTAGGAATATAATGTGAGCCACATGGATAATTTTAGATTTCCTAGTAACCACCTTTAGAAAAGTAGACATAAATGGGTAAAATTAATAATCTTACTTATTAACCCGATATATCAAAATATTATTTCACCGTGTAATCAGTATAAAAATTATTTTACTTTTTTGTACTAAGTGTTCAAAATCTGGTGTGTATTTTATGCTTAGAGAACATCTCAGTTCAGACTCGCCACATTACAGGTGCTCAGTAAACATGTATGGCTAGTGGCTACCATACCGGATCATGCAGTTCTGGATATTTCCATATTTCCAGATAAAGCATCTGGAGAGAGTCACATTTTTGAAAACACAAACTAGTTTCAAGCAGGAGTTTCTTCAGGAGTTTCCTCAAATGGCCTGGCTTTTTCCATGATATCAGTTAATCAGATTTTATTTGTTCCATTTTCATCTTCTTTGATATGCTTTGATCTGGTTCCATCTAGTTTGTGCTCTGTCTATTTAAGTTGGATTCATCCATTTCAGTCTGGTTTTGTGTGTTTTGATTTGGCCTTAGCTATTCAACCTAACTAGATTTTATTTTGATTTTGATTTTTCTCTGATCATATTATTCTCTTTCTCTATGTTAATTCATTGAATGGGTTCAGAGGAAAATGTTGAAATGACCTGGTTCAAATTAGGCTCGATAAGGAAAAACTGGATTTCCTGAAATTGTTTCCTTTGTCTTGTTCGACACCACAGTATTCTGCAGTTCCCTAACCTCTTACACCTCTCTTTTTGGTTTTCTCTCTTTCTTTTTTTTGGATTAGTGTCACATGCTCTTTTTTTTGTTGTTGTTGTCTATATTCAAACTCTTAAACAATTTGTGAACTTTAATGATTTTGCTCATCACATATGATGAACCCATTTTCTCTGTCACTATCTCTCCTGTGCTTTTCTGTTTGGTTACAAGAATATAAGTTTATTCTCAAACTTATCAAAAATTGAGGTCATACTCTTTTCCCTCCTAAACTCATCTCTTGTTCTGTAATTCTTCACATATTCATGTTCCAATGTCTCTTCTTCAAGGGTACTGTTGGAAATAAGTGGGCCAATTTCCCCTGAAATAATCTTGAAAGCTTTCATAGGTGAGATATTTCAGTTAGTATAGGCTAGGTAATGCTGTGATAACAACACAGAACTTCAGCAAATGTTCATTTCTTATAATACCTCTTATGTACAGTTCAGGTAGGAGTTTAGCTCCATTGGGGTTCTGCAATTCGGGCAAAAGAACCAGTCTTTGTCTGGGTCATGGGATTCTTAAAGAAGAGGAGAAAAATGGAACGAAGAAACCACATTGTGGCTCTTAAAATGTGTTTGAGCCCATTCTGGGTGTTTCAGTTGTTGAGTGTCCCGACCTATGAACCAAGAGGTCACCAGTTTGATTCCTGGTCAGAGCACATGCCTGGGTTGCTAGCTTGATCCTCAGTAGGGGGCGTGCAGGAGGCAGCCGATCAAACATCTCTCATCACTGATGTTTCTATCTCTCTCTCCCTCTTCCTTCCCCTCTGAAATCAATAAAAACATATTTAAAAGAACATGTTTGAAAGTAGCACTAACTTTTCACCAATCTCCCATTGGCCTAAGCAAATTCCATTAGCCAGTCATTGTAATGGGATTGGTTTGGGCACAAGGTGCCAAAATCCTGAAATCATGGATCATGTATTCCTTGTCCACTGCAGAATCCACAATACTTAGTAGAGAACCCAGCTCTTAAAATTTCTAATAAGTATGTGTTTGTGGGTGGACAACCTGAGATTCAGATTTATTTCATATGCAGTCTCTTTAACCCCCGTTTCATGTACATACTTCCGTGTTTGGAAGCCCTCCAGATCAAGTGACTTTTTATGTTTATCAGTCTTTTTGTTTTCTGTGATAAGAAAAGTCATGAAGGAGATTTTCATGTCGGTCATAGAGCCTGTTACCTCCAAGTACAACAGAATTGTGAACAGCATATCAATGTGAGTGTCGATGGCTTAGATGACTTACTAGAAAGAAATGGCTGACAGTATTGAAGCTGTTTACAAAGCTGGATGCTTAACTGAGAGGCTCCTAGTCTGAGTGACATGCAGAGGATGTTTCTGGTGTGGTTTTACGGGATTGTAATAGAAAATGGAACGTTTAGAAATGGAATATAGAGGAATTATTGGTGGAAAACAAATTTTGTTGTACATTTATTATCAATAGTAGGTGTGGCAGGAAGATACTCTTTGTCTTAAGACAAGGCGGAACAGCCAGCTGCCCACTTAGGGCTTCTCTAACTGAGCACTCTTTCTCCGGCAGAATCAAAGCCAGAAACAGACTCCTGTTCCTCTTGCCTTCTGGCCTTCTCCCATCAGCCTCTCCTCAGCCAACATGTACTTCCGATCTTCTTGGACTTACGTGACTTCCATCCAGGGGATTCTGGCCCAGGGCATCAGGAGCAGAAATTTTCTTCTCAAAGCTGCTGGAGTGAAAACACAAAAGGTCAAGAGAGAGAAGGTGGCTTCAGATCCTTGTCTGTGAGGACAGAGGAGAGAGAAACCTCAGGCGCTGTTCCCAGCCCACCCCGAAGACAATCAGCAAGTCCTAGAGAAGGCAGCACAGTGGTAGAAATAGAGCCCAAGCCAGCCCAGAGGGTACGCCCTGTGCAAACAGACAGAGGAGCAGAGTTAGGAACCCTGAGATCCGGAATAGGCAGCTGTAACGAGCATGAACTAGACTGTAGTCTGAAATCAAACTTTGCTGTAAACCAGGTGACCCTCTCAGAGGAGAAGCCCTATGTTTGCAGGGAATGTGGGCGAGGCTTTAACAATAAGTCAAACCTCAACAGACACCATCGGACACACTCAATGGAGAAGCCTTATGTGTGTGGTGACTGTGGCCGAGGCTTTAGCCTGATGGCAATCCTTGTTCATCACCAGAGGACACACTCAGGAGAGAAGCCGTATGTGTGCAAGGAGTGTGGGCGAGGCTTTAGCAAGAAGTCCAATCTGAACAGACACACAGAAACCCATTCGGAAGAGAAGCCTTATTTGTGCAGGGAGTGTGGGCAGAGCTTTAGAAATAATTCAGTCCTCATTAGACATCAGTGGATTCACTCTGGGGAGAAGCCCTATGTGTGCCCGGAGTGTGGACGGGGATTTGCTTACAAGTCCACCCTCAGAAAACACCAGAGGACTCATTCAGGAGAGAAGCCCTATATATGTCAGGAGTGTGGGCATGGCTTCAGCGAGAAGTCATCTTTCATCAGACACCAGAGGACACACTCAGGGGAGAAACCCTTTGTGTGCCTGGAGTGTGGACGAGGATTTGGTGATAAGTCAACCCTCAGAAAACACCAGAGGACACACTCGGGAGAGAAGCCTTACACGTGCAGTGAGTGTGGCCGAAGCTTTACCCAGAAGTCATTCCTCCTTATTCACCAAGGGACACACTCAGGAGAGAAGCATGTTTGCAGGGAGTGTGGGCGAAGCTTTAGCTACAAGTCAAATCTCATCAGGCACCAGAAGACACACTCAGACGTGAAGCCTTATATATGTAGGGAGTGTGGGCGAGGCTTTTTCTATAAGTCGGACCTCATCATACATGAAAGGACGCACTCCGGGGAGAAGCCTTACGTGTGCAGTGAGTGTGGTCGAAGCTTTAGCCAGAAGTCATTCCTCGTTATTCACCAGGGGACACACTCAGGGAAGAAGCATGTTTGCAGGGACTGTGGGCGAAGCTTTAGCTACAGGTCCAATCTCATCACACACCAGAGGAAACACTTGGCGAAAAGCATGTTTCCAGGGATCACGGACAAGACCCAGCAATCAGTCAAATCTCATCTTACACCAGAGAGACACCTGGGGTCTGTGTGTGTGGAGTGAGTGTACCTTCGGGGATGTGTTGACTCTCATCAGGCACGGAGGACACATTGAGCAGAGGAGCCTAAGTGTGGGTAACTCTAGCCACACACAAGTGGGAGGTGTTGTGTGTGCGGGGACTGTGGATGAGGCGGTCGCAATAAGTCAACGTTTATCGAATATCCAATGGCTGGCAGGCAGGCAGGCACAAGGTGGCACACTCGGAGAGGAGCAGCGTGTTTGTAGGGATTGTGGGCAAAACCCTTGTGATCAGCCAGCCTTCTTCTCATGCCGTAGAGAGATCCTTATGTGGGGGTACGTGGAGCTCTGCCCAGATAACCTCATTAGGACCAACACCCCTGCCGCTCCTGATAACTGCTGCTGCTGCTGCAGAGACGAAGTCTTTCCTAGGACCTGCTCTCAGCCACAGGGAACTGCACCTTCCTAAGGGCTGGCTCCTGGTTGACTGCTATGGGGAGACAAAACCTCAACCCTGGGCTCAGTTGTGTCCAAAGGGCCATCCTGGATCGAGAGATGCCCATCAAATCTCAGTTGTGAACACATTGCAGGTCAGCTTCTTCCTCTGCCCAGTCCAGCCCTCATTCACCAATAAACCACTTAATTCTCCATCTCCCTGTCTCTCCAGGGACTCCACTCTAAGACATCTTAAGTGTACAAGGAGCGCGGACATGGTTGTGGCCATAGTCATTCCTCACAAACCTCAGCGTTTGCATAGAAACTGTGTGTGGGCAGAATGGGCATGGATTTAGGAAAAGTGCATCTCAGGATACATCAGAGAACAGCTCTATTGTGGGAAGCTTTATATAGGCAGGGGAGGAGTCTGTAAGATGCTTGAGCAATCAGTTATATTAGTTACACCTCGTCTTGCACCAGAGGTCACTCTGAGAGAAGATCTGTGTGGGCAGGGTTTGTGGGTGAAGCCTTATCCGGATGCTCCTCCTCAACAGACTAAGAGGACATTCTTGACACCACAAACCACTACCTCACCTTTGAAGGGGTTTCACAAGTCTTGACACCGCCCCCCCCCCATTCTCTGTATGAGAGTGAAGATGGCACTAGCCACTAAATAGACATGGTTTCCCCCCACTTTTTGTAATCAGATGGAATAAAAAAGTAAAGAGTTTTACTTAAGTAACCTAAGAACGACAACTTGCTTTATTTTCATACACCAGTTCCTTCCCATGTTTTGTCCTTTTGTTATAGTAAAATGATAAGCTCCAGCGGCACACCTTAGTCTCTCGTCCATCTGGAAAGGAATTCACACTCACAGCCTAGATTTCCTGCATGAATTCAACCCTTGAGAAAAAATAAGTCCAAATAAATCTGAGGGTATCTGAGCCTTTGCGTGGGGAGGATGATCGGGGTTCTGGAAACATGCCAGCCGAGGGGAGAACTTCCCAGGTCTCCAAGGCCTGGATTGCCTCTTCTAACTGATCACTCCCTTTGGCTTTTGTGAAGGCTCCCTTCCCTGGGTTTTCTCCTTTCTAATCTCTACTCGGGTCTCTGCTGAACCCTTCTCATCCCCATCAAACCATCACTGGTCCTTAATGGTCTGTTCACATCCTGCATTTTCAGGGATTCTGTAAGTATACTCCCTATGCAGCCTTCCATAGTCTAAGCTCAGGTCCTCTAACCATGCCCTGTTCTCCAGTCATGAATGAATGCTTTGGGCCTCTTAGCTACTCATAGGTCTAAAAACCCCTAAATACAGCTTCAAGGCCATGTCCCCATAGCCCTCCAAGGGTCTTGCTAATGACACCCCACATCATCCTTTTACTCATTGGTCCAAGAGAGCCTACCCGTACACCACCATTGTCTTTTCAGCCCAAGGACCTGGCCCTTTGGCCACACCCTTTCCTAGTCCCCCTCCCTCAGAGTCCAAATTGCTCAATTTGACAACTCTACACTCCCTGGCTCTGATTTCTATGTCCTGGGCCAATAATCGTTCACTCTAGAAGGAGGGTCTGCCTAGACTCCAGCAAATTTGCTTGCATAGTTAGGGTTTACCAGGTCACAAATTGGACTTCAGGCTTTGAAAAGCAAAAGCACAGAGTGGTTTTAACACCTCATCAAAGGAGGGGGCAGAAGAAGAGTCTGAAGGAGTCACTGGCTCCAAGGCCTCTGCTCACTCCCTCAGCCGTGCACTCAGCTCTGCAGCGGGTCCTGGGTCAGCTCTGGTGAGGGGAAGGTGTCCGAATGGGAGTGTTCCCTAGTGTTCCTTTCCCAGAACTACCCCTATCACACCAACTCTTAGCTTCTAGTCAGAACTAGAAGCCACAGAGGGAAGAATGTATATGGCTATGTCGTCTCTAGGGTTTGCATTCCCGATGAGCCCAAGGCCCTTCCTCCATGTCCTGCTATTGGGAGAGAGAAATGCAAACAAGAAAACCAGCACCTTCCTTTTAAAAAGAGAGTATACCCTGTTCATTAATTTTAATCTGGACATCATTTTGGAGAATAGCCAAGCACTCAACTGACCTTTAATTAAAGAAAATTACTTGGGATAGGTTGAAACATGACATTAGGATCCTCAAAAAAGGAAACAAGATTCCTAGAGTTCCATCCACCTGTGTTCTGAAGAGGATATAAGCACCCCTTCTCCAGCTGAGGAGTGGAAAACCTCACAAAGCCAGGTGCCGTGGGGACAGGCTTTGCCCTCATCTGCTGCTGATGTAGACAGACCACAGGGCGGGTCCCAGCTTACCCTGCTCACCAGCTTGAAGGAGGAGTTGGTTCTGCAGAATCCTCACTGCTGCTGGCCATCTGTTCCCCTTTCCCCGACCCCTCACTTCCTTTGGGAACTAGGTTATTTTTTTGTCAGGGAGGAAGAGAGCTTAATGTGAATTTTAATGCCATTTACAATAGTTTTTATCTGACCTGCCTCTTTGCAGTGTCTGTTCCAATAATCTAGAGCAGTGAAGGTGAACTTATGACACGCGTGTCAGAGGTGACACGCAAACTCATTTTTTTTGGTTGATTTTTCTTTGTTAAATGGCATTTAAATATATAAAATAAATATCAAAAGTATAAGTCTTTGTTTTACTATGGTTGCAAATATAAAAAATTTCTATATGTGACACGGCACCAGAGTTAAGTTAGGGTTTTTCAAAATGCTGGCACGCCGAGCTCAAAAGGTTTGCCATCACTGATCTGGAGTGAAAGCAGGCCTGTACCTTTCCCTGTGCCTAGTAGACACTGCCATTAACAGAGGCTTACTTGTCTTTTTTGAAAAATATATTTTTTTATTCAGAGAGGAAGGGAGAGGAAGAGAGAGATAGAAACATCAGTGATGAGAGAGAATCATTGATCAACTGCCTTCTGCACGCCCCCTACTGGGGACTGAGCCCACAACCCAGGCATGTGCCCTTGACGAGAATCGAACCTGGGACCCTTCAGTCCATAGGCCGATGCTCTATCCACTGAGCCAGACCGGCTAGGGCAAGGCTTACTCGTCTTTTGAGAGAGGGGCCCAAGCTGTGAAAATCTTAGTGTAAGTAAATTTGGTAATATTGGAGGTATGCCTGAAAACACTTCAGATCAGGTTTTCTGCCGAACAGGGGTGAAAATCTGGAAGAGATGATACAGGGAAACAGAAAAATTAAGAGAAAGAGAAGGCACGAAGGACAGCACTGAGACTAGGATAAATTTGGAAGTCAGAAGTGTTGCCATTGCCCAGACAAAATTTACAGGACAACTATGGCGATGGTAATGTGGACTAAAAGAGAAGACAGGCATCATAGGGTTTGTTTTGGAAGTCCTTGGTGTTGCAGCTTTCCAACAGGAGAAATATTTGCAAAAGATAAAAATTCTCATCACTCCAAGAATCCAAGCAGAAAGCCAACATCATCTTACCTGTGCTTATCATAAGAACTAGAGGCCCAGTGCATGAAATTTGTGCATGTGGGAGGGGGGACCCTCAGCCCGACCTGCACCCTCTCCAATCTGGGAGACCTCAGGGGATGTCCTACTGATGCCTTACTAGAGGGTAGGTTGAACTGGCTATCCTCTTTCCCCATCTAAGTCTTGCATTGTGCTGACCTATGTGGTAGAATATGTTTGTGTGTGTGTGGAATGGTGCCACTTATTAATATATTGTCTCAGCTCTAAATTCACCTCTTGTAACCTGATCTGTGAAAACGGATCTGGGCCCTTGAAGTCCTTTTCCTTTGTCAGCTGGCATGAGGTTTATCAGTAGTGGGCTCTGGAGCAAATTAGGAAGGAAGGAGGTTCTTTCCTGGCTCAGTTCACCAGGGCCCCGGGAGTACCCTTTCCCCCCACTCCTCAACCAGACCGGCGCAGTTTCTTCATGCTAAATGCCTGCAGGACACAGCTTTCTCCACTGATTGGCCATCCTTTGTTTTCTTCAGCTCTCCACTCAGGCAATGGTGGGTTAGCCGGGAGCCCAAACAGCACAGGTCACCACTGCTCTTGCACCTTCTCTTCATCTCCATGGGCATACAGTCTAGGGCTGGACTGGCTTTTTGGCAAGCAGCCAGACTTTCATCATGTGCTGAGGCCCAGAACTCCCCTCCCTGGTTGCTACTCCCCAGACCCTCTCTTCAGCTCTATGTGCATGCACACCAGGGTCCTGGCAGTTACCTTTAGCTGCCCCAGCTCAAGCTGTGCACAGAACTAGCCTAGGTTCTTGCAGCTTTCCAGTCTCCATTTCTGGCAGCGCCTATAGCAGTGTTCTGACTGTCTTTGCTCATCTGCCCATCAGCCTCAGCTCGCTTGTGCCTCATAGGTTTGTTTGATGCAGCTCTTCGGATGCAGACACTGCGTGGTCCAGGTTTTGTATCAACATCAACATCTTGGTTCTCTGTCCACATCCAGCTCCCTCTGTGTACCTGCCTACCACGTTTGGCTGGCCCACATTCCAGACGGTTATTCCTGCTTGCCAGCTCTGGCGTGTGCAACCCCCCACCCCTACCCCAACTTCTCTACCATCAGTGGGCTGCAGCCACTCCTCCAGCGAGGGCTGATCCCCAGTCTTGGGGAGGGAACTCTCCTTCCCTGTGTATCCTTCCTTAGAACTCTACCTCAGCTGAGTTTTCTTTCAATATTTATAGCTACTCTCCTATCTTTGTATAATATATACTTTAAAAATCTTCACCCAAGGATATGTTCTACTGATCTTAGAGAGAGAGAGAGAGAGAGAGAGAGAGAGAGAGAGAAGAAAGAAACATCAGTGTATGAGAAAAATATTGGTTGCCCCCCTACGCGCCCCAACCAGAGATTGAACATGCAAACTAGGTATGTGCCCTGACCAGGAATCTAACTAGCAACCTTTTCAGTGCATAGGACGATGGTCCAACCAATTGAGCCATACTGCCCAGTGCTGTATAATAATTCTTTATGTTCGATTTCCTATTTCAATTACTGTGTGGTTTATGTCTCCTCATTTTACCCAAACTAATACAGATGTGAATTGTGTATGTAGTTCAAAGACATGAACTTTTGATGGCGTTTATTCAAAGAAACAATGCTAGTCAAAGTTATTACTAATACTAGCTGGGGCTCTGGACCTGAACCCAAACACAAAAATCTAATGGTCTACACCTGGGGATAGCAAATTATAGCCTGAAGGCCGATTCTAGCCTGTTTTTGTAAGGCTTACGAACTAAGAATGGTTTTTACATTTTAAATAGCTGAAAATAATCAAAAGAAGAATAATATTTTGTGACACATATCTGTGTCCATAAATAGTTTTGCTGTAACACAGCCACACATTTGTTATGTATTGTTTATAGCTGCTTTCATGCTACAATGGTTGAGTTGAGTAATTGAATCAGAGACCATATGGCCCATAAACTCTAAAATACTATCTGACCCTCAACAGAAAAAGTTTGCTGATCCTTGATCTAGACCAGCAATTTTCAATCAGTGTGCCACAAGAATTTTTAAAACATGCAATTCCTGACTATTTAGTCAGGGGCACTGACCTCTTTTCCCTTAGATTGTCAATAAGAAAATGGCAACAGCTAACAGAACAATAGCTATCCAGTGTGAATGAATAAAAAATATACATATTTTTTTTGTCGGATTGGTAAAAAATACATTTTTTGTTTGCCGAAGAAATTTTAGTTTATGTGTGTCATGAGATGAAAAAGGTTGAAAATTGCTGATCTAGACTGAACCTTGGGAACACTCTATCAAAGGCCAAATGAATGGCCTGCTTAACCCCATGCTCTGGAATTCATGACCTCTTTTTTCTTATTTGTAGATATCAACAAGCTGATTCTAAAATTTATGTGAAATCACAAGGGATCTGGAATGCCAAAACAATCTTGTGGAAGAAAAACAAATTAGGAGGACTCACATTTTCTGATTTCAAAACTTACTACAAAGCAACGGTTCTGACATAAGGATAGACATACAGACCAATGGAATAGAATTGAGAAGTCAGACATAAAACCATGATGTGTCTTTGGTCAGCTGATGTTCCACAAGGGTGCCAAGACCAGTCAGTGGGCAAAGAATAGGTGTTTCGACAAATGATGCCGGGGCAACTGGATATTTACCTGCAAAAGAATAAAGTTTAACCCTTACCGTATGCCATACATACACATTAACTAAAAATGTATCAAAGATCCAAATGTAAGAAACTAAAACTGTAAAACTCTTAGAAGAAAGCATAGGACCAAATCTTTATGATCTTGAACCTGGCAACGATTCTTAGATACGCCACCAAGAGCACGAGCAAGAAAAACAACAACAACAAAAAAGATAATAGATAAATTGGACTTTATCAAAATTAAAAACTAAGGTGAAAAGACAATCCATAGAATTAGAGAAAATGTTTATAAATCATATATCTGATGTGGGACTTACATCTAGAATACATAAAGAACTCTTAACAACTCAATAAGAAAAGACAATCCAAGGATGATATACAGATGGGCAGTAAGTACATGAAAAGATGCTCAACATCATTAGTCATCAGGGAAATGCAAATCAAAACCACAATGAGATAGATACCAGTTCACACACCTTACGGTGGTCCATCCAAGTCACATAACAAGTGCTGATGAAGAAGTGGAGACATCAGAACCCTCATATACTACTGGTGGGAGTATAAAACAGTGCAGCCACGTTGGAAAATAGTCTGGCAGGGCTTTTATATCTGCCCACCTCCCATTTTTGAACTGTGGTCACTAAATGAGTGCCCATGTTTTTCTTCAATTGGATGGGAATGGAGGACAGTGACTCTTGATCAGGGAGCACCGCTGCAGCAGATCAGAGGAGCAGGAACCGGAGCCTGGGCTGAGTTCATAAAAAGCAGGATCTGGACAGTGGCTCCACATGGAGGAGCCAGAGGAACCTGTGGACAGTGGGCAGTCACTGCCCCCGGTTTACATCTACAGTCCCGAGTATGTCAGCATGTGCGATTCCCTGGCCAAAGTCCCCAAACGGGCCAGTATGGTACATTCTTTGATTGAAGCATATGCACTGCATAAGCAAATGAGGATAGTTAAGCCCAAAGTGGCCTCCATGGAGGAGATGGCCACCTTCCACACCGATGCCTATCTGCAGCACCTCCAGATGGTCAGCCGAGAAGGAGATGACGATCATCCGGACTCTACGGAGTATGGCCTGGGTTATGACTGTCCAGCTACCGAAGGGATATTTGACTATGCGGCAGCTGTGGGAGGGGCTACAATCACAGCTGCCCAGTGCCTGATTGATGGAATGTGCAAGGTAGCCATTAACTGGTCCGGAGGGTGGCATCACGCAAAGAAAGACGAAGCATCTGGATTTTGTTATCTCAATGATGTGGTCCTGGGAATATTACGATTGCGACGGAAATTTGACCGTGTTCTCTATGTGGATTTGGATCTGCACCATGGAGATGGTGTAGAAGATGCCTTCAGTTTCACCTCCAAAGTCATGACCGTGTCCCTGCACAAATTCTCCCCGGGATTTTTCCCAGGAACAGGTGACGTGTCTGATGTTGGCCTAGGGAAGGGACGGTACTACAGTGTGAATGTGCCCATTCAGGATGGCATACAGGATGAGAGGTATTACCACATCTGTGAAAGTGTACTAAAGGAGGTGTACATGGCCTTTAACCCCAAAGCGGTGGTCGTACAGCTGGGAGCTGATACAATAGCTGGGGATCCTATGTGCTCCTTTAACATGACTCCGGTGGGAATTGGCAGGTGCCTTAAGTACATCCTTCAGTGGCAGTTGGCAACGCTCGTTTTGGGAGGAGGAGGCTATAACCTTGCCAACACAGCTCGATGCTGGACATACTTGACTGGGGTCATCCTAGGGAAAGCACTATCCTCTGAGATCCCAGATCATGAGTTTTTCACAGCATATGGTCCTGATTACGTGCTGGAAATCACGCCAGGCTGCCGGCCAGACCGCAACGAGCCCCACCGAGTCCAGCAAATCCTCAGCTACATCAAAGGGAATCTGAAGCATGTGGTCTAGTGGACACAAAGGGATCAGGTTTCCAGAGCCAAAGAGCAGTGCCTGTAATGAAGGCAGCATGTTTATGCGAGCCGTGTGTGGAATTTGTGACTTCAGGGGAAATTTGGAAGAAATTAATTCTTGAAAATTTCCAAGGAGCCCCAAGTGGCTGCTGGCCTCCTGGGGTGAGGCAGGGAGGCACCCCGGAGGCTCAACTAGCCCTAGAGGAAGAGTGAGATTTTCAACATTAGAAGTGTTTATTTTTTAAACAAACATAAGTACCATTTTTAATCTTTGAATATTATTTTTAAGCAAGTTGGGGAGGGGGTATTTTTATTTTCTTAAAGGAGACAGATCAGAAACTGGGAGAAAGCATGGATGTGTAGTGGGTTAGGGGGGAGCTGAGAGGTAGGGTTAGGGCATCAGGACCATCCAGGTGATGCCTTGGTGAAGGGAAATGATAGTAGATTGGGAGGTAGGAAGAAGTCCACCTCTGTTGTTTTTAGGATAATCTATTTTTTAAAAGTATATTTTTATTGATATTTAGAGAGAGAGGAAGGGCGAGGGAGAGAGAGATAGGAGCATCAATGAGAGAGAAGCATCAATTGGCTGCCTCCTGCACGCCTCATACTGGGGTTCTAGCCCAAAACCTGGGCATATGTCCTGACGGAATCAAATCAGCGACTTCTTGGTGCATGGGATGATGCTCAACCAACTGAGCCACACCAGCTGTTGTGTTTTTTTCAAAACCTAAAAAAAAAGAAAAGAAAAAACAGTCTGGTAGTTCCTCAAACAATTAAACTGAGTTACCATATGACCCAACAGTTCCACTCCTAGGTATATGCACAAGAGAAATGAAAGCATAAGTCAACATGAAAACTTGCACACAAATGTTTAAATGCAGCATCATTCATAATAGCCAAAGGGCGGAAACTGCCGAATGTCTATCAACTAATGAATGGGTAAACAAAAATGTTATATTCATACAATGAAATACTATTCAGCCATAAAAAAGAGATGAAGCACTAATATGTGCCATAACATGGATGAGCTTGGAAAACATGATGCTAAGTGAAAGAAGGCAGTCACCAAAGACCACATATTACATGAGTTCCTTTGTAAGGAATGTCTGGAATGTCCTTCATTCAGGTCTTCGTTCACATGCACGCCTCAGAGAGGTTTTCCCAGAGCATCTAACCGAAGTTACAACCCATCACTCTCAACCCCCCTACCCTACTTTATTTAGTTTTCCTATCACTCTGATGTTACTCTTTATACCTATTCATGTGGTTTACTGTCTGTCTTTCTCACCAGAACATAAAGTCCTTCAAGGAAGGGACTTTGTATCTCACTGACAGTGAGATGTTAGTAAGAACGAAATAATTTAAAATGCATGCATGAGTGATATGTTAGGAGGCAGGGTAACTTGGAAGCAGCTGAGGAACTAGGTGGTACTATATCCCTGTCCTTGCCACCTTGAGCAAGATAATATATCTCTCTGAGCCTCCATCTCTTGTCCTCCACATGTTGACAAAAATGGGACAGAACATACATTTTAGGGTGTGAGAATTAAATTACAAAGCCCTGGCTGGTGTGGCTCAGTTGGTTGAACGTCGCCCTATACACTGAACGAATGCTGGATCGATTACCCGTCAGGGCACATACGCAGGTTTCAGGTTCAATCCCTGGTTGCGTACGGGAGGCAACTGATTGATGGATGTTTCTCTCTCACATTGATGTTTCTCTCCCTCTCCCTTTCTCTCTAAAAAAGTCAATAAAAACACATTAAAATTACAAAACCCTGAGTTAGAAACTTTCCTTGCTGGGTTTTGGGGAACAACAAGGAGACTGGTATGGCTGGAGGATGATGAATGAGGGGAATGTTGAAGATGAGGTTGGAGAGGGATGCAGGGCTGGATTTTATTCTGCGTGTGCTGGGAAGTTATTGGGAAGTGGAGAGCAGGGCAATGGCACCATCTGATATAATCCCACTACATTATAGAAGGATCCCTCTGGCTGTGAGAGCAAGAAAGGAAGCAGACTAGTTAGGGGTTCATTCACTGATCCAAGACAAAGATGATGGTGGCTAGGCTAGCATGGTAGTAGTGGGGCAGGTGACAAGAGTCAGATTTTAGACCCTTTGAAGGTGAGGTCCATAGGATTTGCTGATTGATTGAGATGAGAGAGAATGGGAGGGATCAAGGGTGCTACCAAGTTTGTCTTTGATTTTTAACCCGAGAAACTTGAGATGGGAAATGCTGGTAAGCAGTGGTTTTGGGAAGAAGAGTGATTAGACTCAAGAATTTAGTTTTCATCGTTAAATTTATTAGCTATTTAGACATTCATGTCTAGCAGGTGGCTGGATATTAAAGCCAAGAGTTAAATGAAGAGCCCAGGTTTAAAGGAATAAATTTGAAAAACCTGAACATGTAGAACTTTCAGAAGTCCTGGAGCTGTTCCTAGCTGGTTTGGCTCGGTGGATAGAGTGTTGGCCTGCGGATTGAAGAGTCTCCGGGTTCGATTAGGGCACATGCTCGGGGCGGATCCCCAGTAAAGGGGCACGCAGGAGGCAGCCAGTCGATTCTCATCATTGATGTTCCTATCTCTCTCTCTCTTCCTCTCTGAAATCAATAAAAATATATTTTTAAAAAGTCACTGGACTGGATTGGGGATTGATTCATTCAAATATTAACTCCTTGTTTTGTGCTTTGCAGTGACGTAGGCACTGCAGCCATGAACAATACACAGACATCCTTACTGTTGGAATTTACGTTCTAATGGGGAGGAGTAGCAAAATAACTAACAAAAACATATAGTACATTAGCTATTAGTGTTCAAGAGAAAGGCAGGGAAGTCCTCAGTGGGAAAATGTGATGGATCTTGAAGGTGAGGGCTTGAGCGGTGCACACGCCCGGATGCCTAGCATTTCAGGCAGAGGCTACAGCAAATGCATAGGCGCGGGGGCAGGAGCACTTCGAGCAAGTTCACGGAAAAACCGGAACATGCCCAGTGGCTGCAGGGGAGCGAGCCGAGGCAGAGGCGGCGACGGAGTTCACAGGCCGGGGCCAGGGACGGGGCGGGGGCGGGGGCCGGGAATGAGGAGGAGGAGGAGGAGGAGCAACAGCTCTGGCAGTTCCGTTGGCTGTTAGCTCCGCCCGAGGCCCCGCCCCTCTCGAACTCCCAGCTTCACGTCGGGGACGGAACTCCAGGCCCGGGCTCCGAGACCGGAAGTAGTTTTCTGCCGGACTCCATTTTGCCTGGGTCTGCATTTCCGGTAGTAGCGGCGGGAAGCGGGCTGCAGGAGCGCCAGGCCTCGGCGCAGGCGAATCCGGCGCGAATCGGAGCCATCAGAACCGCCACCATGGTGAGGAGGCGCAGGCCGGCGGCGCGGGCGCTCCCGAGTCTGTTGTGGAGGGAGGGGGGCGACCAGTTGGGGAGGAGGCCGTGGTTGGCCGCTCGTTGGCCGGCGATGAAGGCCGGGCCGCGGCCGCTCCGTCCGGGCACGAGAGACCGGGACCTTGGACGCTAGGCGGGGTGGGGGAGGGGAAAGCGGGAACTGCGGGGCCGAGGCCTGGTCGCCCGGTGGGCGCGGGGGGTAGGACCGCGGCTCTCCACGCCCCTGTGGCCACGGTATTTGGGATCCTGGAGGCACGAAGTAAAACTTTTGCGGCAGAAATGCGTGTTTGGGTGTCGAGAGCAGGCGCTAGAGCCGCAGGCGGACTGGGGGAGGCCCGGTGAGACGTGGGAGAAGGCCGTGGGGCGGGAGGTGGAAGGGCTTCCGGCTGGACCTGGCGAGTGATCCTGGGCCTGGTAGACGAGGCGGGGGTGGCCCGGTGGAGGAAGAGCTGAACCCACTTTTGCAGCCTGTGTGCGTGTTTGAAGACGCCCGGCTCTCCAGGTGCCGGCGCTGCACAGTGAAACGTTTCCTTCCTCCACCGAGTTGACTCTGGCTGGGACGCGGGCGATATAATTCTATAACTCAGCGGCGGGCAGGTCGGCATTCAGGCAGCGGTTCTCAACCTGTGGGTCGCGACCCCTTTGGCGGTCGAATGACCCTTTCACAGGGGTCGCCTAAGACCATCCTGCATATCAGATATTTACACTATGATTCATAACAGTAGCAACATTACAGTTATGAAGTAGCAACGAAGATAATTTTATGGTAGGGTCACAACATGAGGAACTGTATTTAAAGGGCCGGAAGGTTGAGAACCACTGCTAAAGTAACGGCGCCGAGGGGGCGGGGCAAGCACGCTTTCCGGAGTAGATGGTTCCGGAGCGGAGTCGAGATTGTGCCCGCGAAAATGGGCGGGGAAGTAACAGATCCGAGGGGTGTAAGTGCAAAGCATAGGAAGTCCCTGGAGGCGGGAAGGGAGAAGCCAAGCGGGAGCCTGGCTCCTAAAGGCCTCAGGGGCACGGAATCTTGCTGGCGGTGCGGCAGGCCCCTGAAGGAATTTAACCCCCAACGTGATGGGAACTTTGTGTTTGCAAAGCTCACTTTGTTCAGTAGGCGTTGTGTTGGGTGAAGTGAAAGCAGGGAAACCTGGTAGGATGTTGTTTGGGGAATTGGTTAGAGGAGGAGACGCTGGGTCCGGGCTGATGAGGTTCCTGGCTCCGAGACAGGGCAAACTTCCCCGCTCTCCCAGCTTCAGTGGCCTCATCTGTAAAAGAGCAAAAGTAACGGAGCTGATTTTGAGAATTAAGTGAGACAGACAGTGCTTATCACAGTGCCTGGCATGAAGTGAACACTTAGTAAGTGTTGGCTATTAATGGGCCAAGAAATGGTGCCATGAAGATTGAGGTCTGTGTGGCAAGAAGCTGGCTGAGGACAAGGCGGTTAAAGGGTCATCTGAGGGAGACTGAGCCGCATAACCTGGGCCTCCCGGGTGGAACCCAAGGTTCTGACTCACACATTTGTAGGTTCAGAAGCCTGTACTTGTCCAGGCTCACAGAGGTGAACAGCGTGCACAGTTAGGACTGGCCAGTCAGATTGATGCTAGGCTGATGCGCAGATCAACTGCCAGGCCATTTATTTCTAGAGAGAAATATAACTGCCAAGGGCACCCAGCATTGTAGTGATGTCTCTGTAGTCCATTTTAGCAAAGACACATTGCAAGCCAGGCTATAAAGCAGAAAATGTTGGGTTAATTAAGAAGGACAGCAAGTTATATATTCTTAAAGACCATTATGTGTTCAAACTAATTCGTATCCTGGCTACCAGAAAATTTCCCTGCCAAAGGTAGTCTTGAAGGCTCACTAACAAATTCTCCTTTGGGGCATTCTGCTCTCACCTCCAAGCTGATCAGCTCCTTTCTGATAAGCTTCTGGCTGCTTGGATTTTAGTGCCAGTCCCATTCCAGCTGGTTTACTGGCTTTTTAATGGAATGTGGGTGTTTTACAGTACTGGAGTCACACGTCTGTAACCTTCACAGTGGCAGGTGGCTCATCTCAGGTATGCATGGCTTGGATTAGTTTGGAGACCTATATGTTCACTGGTCACCACTGAAACTTACCCAGCCTAAACAAAGGCAATTGTAATATGAGATGATTTGAAGGGAAAGGACAAAAACAGGAGTGGGCAGAGGTCAGGACTGAACACGGTATAACCTGGGAGAATTCCTGGGAAAGGACTCTGGCTGTACTAAGCAAGACAGGTACATAGAAAAGCAGGCTGCAGCAGAAAGTTTTTAGGAAGGACTAGGGGATATGTGGTTCCACCCTTGGCCGGGTAGCTCAGTTGCTTAGAGAGTAGTCCTGATACGCCAAGGTTGTGGATGCAATCTCCAGTCAGGGTACATATGGGAGTGAACCAGTGAATGCATGAATGACTGGAACAAATCCATGTTTCTCTCTCTTCCCTGCTGATTTCTCCTTGCAGACTGTGGGCAAGAGCAGCAAGATGCTGCAGCACATCGACTACAGGATGAGGTGCATCCTGCAAGACGGTCGTATCTTCATTGGCACCTTCAAGGCTTTCGACAAGCATATGAATTTGATCCTATGCGATTGTGATGAATTCAGGAAGATCAAGTGAGGAATGGGCTGTGGGGGGAGGGATTTGGATGAGGGGGATAGATGCGGGGGGGCAAGTGATAGGTGGTGATACAGCTAGCTGATTCCTGTTGGTTTGCTTTCCTGTTTTAGAGGGCAGATTTAAATGGAGACATTGGACACTTAAATCGCTTTCTTTAGCCCAGCAATCCTTGCTCTGTAGTTCTAGCACATTACTTGTAAGAAGGGCTGCTAGGCTTTTGTTTCTCTTCTTTTCTCATGCCCCTGGGTATTGGGGTAAAGGGCTGTCATGTTCTCCCCACAGGTGTATGAGGGGGGAGAGCTTGATTTTCTGGCCTCATTACCTATTTGTAAAGCTGTAGCCTAAAGGGCTCTCCCAATGCAGCCTGGTCTGAAACTGCTTTAAGAAGCCTCTGACCCTCTTCAGGGTAAGTGCTCAGCTTCCCCTGTGGGTTTGGGGCCAGTGATTTTTGTTGGCATTTATAGAAATAATTAGATTTCTATAGTTCCATAAGTTATTGGATGGCTCCCTTATATTAAGACTCCCAGATCTTAAGTTTCTGACCTAAAATATGTGGTCTAGCTTTTTGTCCTATTTTTACATTCAAGGCAACTTGAGGCCCAGAGAGGTTATATAATTTTCATGGTCATTCAGCTCTCTGGCCACGTGCAGTGTCCATGTTGTCAGCAGCTGTGAAATCCCTTTGATTCCCTTTGGGGCCGTTGTTTTCTTTGGGGCATGAGGTTAAGAAGAATAGGACAAAAAATGTGGTAGCATGGCTGATTGCCAGGTATGCACATTAGAGAAGGGCCAGCAGGTCAGTGTAGAATTATTCCAAACAGTTCTCTTTTTCAAATGAAACTAACTTTATTCTGACAATAAAAAAAATGTTTATTAGAAAATCTTTTTTAAAATAAAGAAAAATATATGAGAAAAAATTAAAATGCCCAGAAAAGTTTTTTTTAAGATTGTGAAAGACAGTATATACTTTTAATTAAAAATAAGAAAATATAGATAAGCATAAAAAGGGGGAAAAATATCCACCCACAGAAAACCACTGTTAATTTATTATAAAATAGCATTAAAATGAAACCTTTACCCTGGCCGACATGGCTCAGTGTCAGCCTGTGAACCAGGAGGTCATGGTTCAATTCCTGATCAAGGATTCTCTCTCATCATTGATGCTCCTCTCTCTCTCCCTCTCCCTTCCCCTCTGAAATCAACAAATACATATTAAAAAGAAAGAAACCTTTAAGTTGATTTTTACATTGATCAGGTATTTTTTCTTTCTTTTTAGCATACTGGCTTTGGGATTTTCTTTCCTTCCCTGCCTTGTGGTTATTTTTCCTAGATTGCATTCATATTTTGTTCATCTTTTCTGGCTGTGGTTGTTTGGAGATTTCTGTTTTTGTGCTTGGAGGACAGAGGTGTAGTTCCTATGTAGTTAACCTCTTACTTTTCCTTTATGGTTTCTATTTCTGATGTGAGGTAAGGGACCCACTTGTGCATGGTGGTGAATGGGATTCAGTTGACTTGAGGAGTTGTTTCAGCTGCCTTCTGACACTGGCAAGACCTTAAATTGAAGGGAGGGAACACAGTGATAGATAGCAGGGAAGATTGATTGAGGAAAGATGACGTATGGTTGTTACAGAATAACATTGAGCCAGGGCTGGGCTTTCTTGACTTGTCCTATCTCTTGTTCTGTGCATCCTCTTGGCATAGGAATCAACCACCTTGGGGTTACAGATACATCCTGTGAAAACTATCTAGAAGAGCTGTCTTGGGGAAATTTATGAACCATTTGTCAGGGGATGGAGAGTAAAACAAATCTTAGAGGCCCCTAGGTAGGTGAACATGGACTTTACCCTCTTTCTAATGCTTGCTTTTTTGTTTCTTCTAAACCTGTCTTTAGGCCAAAGAACTCAAAACAAGCGGAAAGAGAAGAGAAGCGAGTCCTCGGGCTGGTGCTACTTCGAGGGGATGACAGTAGAGGGACCTCCTCCCAAAGATGTAAGTCTGAGCAGAGTGGCAGTGAAAAGCCATATTGAGCATGTGCAGTATTTTATTTAATCCTTGCAGCCATCTTTGAGATAAATTACTCCCACTTTATAGGTAAAAACTGGGTTTTAGTAACTTGCTCAAGGTGTCACAGAAAACCCAGCCCTACCTCAATGTTATTCTGTAGTAAGAGGTGACATTGGCATTTAATCCCAAGCATTCTTGATTCTGTAAACACCAACCTACATTTAGAAGTAGAGCAGATTTTAGAGAATCTAATCAAATTTATTTTCCCTTTTTTATTTTGACATTTTTTATCAAAGGAATATTTCTCTTATACTGGTTTTTGTCCATGTATATATACATACATATATATATTAGTATTTAACACATAATATGCTTGTAATATTTTGTTTTGCTTTTTCACTTAATGTAAATATTTCTGTACTTGCTGTATATAAGTCATGTTAGTGGAAAGACTTAAGATATTTTCTCAAGTGAGTACAGAGTACTCTATCCTAGTAATTTCTTTATTTTTGGACTTCAGTTGAAGCTTTTTTTCAATATAAATGACTGCAAGTGATGTTAACCATATTTTTTGGTTCAAAGTATATGTACCAATATATAACTCTTGGAATCCATTTCCAGTAGAATTTACTATTCTAATGTAGCCCATTGTAAACGTTCCATGACCACAAGCAGTTTTGTCATAATTCCATTATTTGCAGATGAGGAAACAGTTTCAAAATCGTGGGATTACTTCCCCACTGTCACCCACCAGGTGAGATTCAGACCTGGGACTGAACCTCATGTTTCTTTGATGCCGGGTCAAGTGCTCTTGTCTACTCCACCCTCCTGAATGGAGCGTTGGCCCTTTGTTAGTTTAATTTTCATGGGAATGCGTATAGGTGGTTGTGTTGTGGTATGTTCTCTAGACTTACCCTTAAACTCTTCGAGCCTGCCAGGGGTGACAGCTAGGCGTATAATCTTAGGTGAAGGAGTAATGGTGTTGCCACATACCGGTGGACAGTGTCTGTAAGTTGTTTTGATGCCCTATAAGTCTAAGAGGCTCTCTTGGCAATGGCATTCCAAAATGTACATCTGATTTTCTAGGCCACAAGCATTTTAGCTTATTTCTTTATTTTTTAGACTGGCATTGCCCGAGTGCCACTTGCTGGAGCTGCTGGGGGCCCGGGGATCGGCAGGGCTGCTGGCAGAGGAATCCCAGCTGGTGTTCCCATGCCCCAGGCCCCCGCAGGACTTGCTGGGCCAGTTCGTGGGGTTGGTGGACCATCCCAACAGGTGAGGAGTTGGGGAAAGGCACCAGTGTCTGGTGGTTCAAGGATAGAGGGAGGGTCTACAGTTTGGGAAGAGTCCAGAATGACCAACCTATGACTGTCAGGCTATCAGTGTTTCATGGTGCTTTGTGTATGTGTTCCTAGAATCAAGTGAAAAGGAAAACTTGTCATTGTAAACTATATGATGGTACTAGGAAAGACATTCATGAAAGGTATATTAGCTGAACGTATTGTAGCAAAAAGTTGCTATGACAGCATTTGAAATATACTGTCATAACATTAGTTATTTGAAAATGCAGGTGCCTTCTCTAATTTGTGTTGGGCATTCTTAACTCAAGTCTAGAAGATGGGGGTTGGGCATTCAAGCTTTATCTCTGAAAGATGGCTTTTTGTTTGTTTTGGTTAATACTCACCTGAGGATATTTTTCCCATTGATTTTTATTTTTAATTTTTAAATATATATTTTTATTGATTTCAGAGAGGAAGGAAGAGGGATAGATAGAAACATCAATGATGAGAGAGAATCATTGATTGGCTGCCTCCTGCATGCCCACTACTGGGGATCGAGCCTGCAATCCAGGATATGCCCTTGACTGGAATTGAACCTGGGACCCTTCAGTCCACTGGCCGATGCTCTATTCACTGAGCCAAACCAGCTGTGGCTCCCATTGATTTTTAGAGAGTGGAAGGGAGGAGGAGAGACATAGAAGAGGCATTGATGTGAGAGAGACACATTGATTGTTTGCTTCCTGCATATGCCCCAACTGGCGCCATGGATTGAGCCTGCAACTGAGATATATGCCCTTGACAGGAGTCGAGCCTGCAACCCTTCAGTCTGTGGGCTCATGCTCTACCCACTGAGCCAAACTGTCTAGGGCTAGAAGATGGTTTTGAATACAAAGTCTTAAGGCCTGAGTGGTAGTTTAGGGGATTTGGTGTCTGCTGCTTTACCAGGTTGGGGAGGAGAGTAGGATGCAGCATTGCACTGGACTGTTCTGCCTAATTCTCTTCTTGTGTTCTCTTAGGTGATGACCCCACAAGCAAGAGGCACTGTTGCAGCTGCTGCAGCCGCTGCCACAGCTAGTATTGCAGGGGCCCCAACCCAGTATCCACCGGGCCGTGCAGGTCCTCCCCCACCTATGGGCCGAGGGGCACCCCCTCCAGGTAAGAAGCCCATAAGGAGAGCATTGCTAATTGCTAAAAGATGCCTGAGCTGGATTTATGATGAGACATACCTTGACTGAAACTGATGATGAGTTTTTATAGTTAAGCAGGATTACTCTGAGATCCAGCCTGGCTGACTACCATGGAACAAGAGCCATTGGGAGTTCCCACCTCTTTGGCTCAAGTCCCAGTTTGCTAGGAGATGCTGGGAGAGTGGAATGGTCCATCTGTCTCAGAATTTGGTAGATAGCTTGTATGTTTTTTTGCTACCTTTTGACAGACACTTGAGCTATCTTTTGGGGGCTTTTCTCTTTCAGGCATGATGGGCCCACCTCCTGGTATGAGGCCTCCCATGGGTCCCCCAATGGGAATCCCCCCTGGACGAGGAACTCCAATGGGCATGCCCCCTCCAGGAATGCGGCCCCCTCCACCAGGAATGCGAGGTAATGCTCACAGCAGCGATTTAGACTTCCTTCCCTAGAGCCATATTGGGATGGGAAGTGGAGGGAAGGTGAGATTTTGACTATACCTCTGGGCTTTCAGGCCTTCAGCCTAGTGAAGTGAACTCTTTCTTAGAGGACAACTTAATGCAGAAAGGAAAGAGGGAACAGCATTTCTTTAATTGACCTAACTCCCTCTGCACCCAGGTACTTCTCAGTGTCCAAGGCAGTGTTTTTAGGGCACTGAAATAATGCACTCTGAGGGTCCCCAATAAAGGTCATGGAATTAATTTTCTTACACTCTTTGGTTTGTAGTGTTTAGTAATTAAGAAAGGGCTCTGGGCTTTGCTATATACTATTTAGTATGTATATCTTTTTAACTCCAGTTTGAGAAATGGTGACATAGATCAGCCCTTGTTATAGGTAAGAAAACAGGCCCAGAGAAAATTCAGTGTCTAGACCAGCCGTGGGCAAACTACGGCCCGCGGATCCGGCCCGTTTGAAATGAATAAAACTAAAAAAAAAAAAAAGACCGTACCCTTTTATGTAATGATGTTTACTTTGAATTTATATTAGTTCACACAAACACTCCATCCATGCTTTTGTTCCGGCCCTCCGGTCCAGTTTAAGAACCCATTGTGGCCCTCGAGTCAAAAAGTTTGCCCACCCCTGGTCTAGACTCTCAGACCAGTGTTCTTTTCACCAAGCCATAGTGGTTTTTAAGCTAACCCACAGCCGTCACACTAGGTGATTCCTATGTCTCTAGTCTGAGTTTTCTGCTTTTGGGTTTTGTAAGCATGGCAATCTAATTGGCCCTAGAGATGTTACCAGTCAGCACATACCTCCCTCCAGTTGATAACTGCAGGATGTGGGAGCCTGGGCAGGAATGGGGATTTGACTTGCAGATCAGGCACTGACTAAACTCCTTACTCTTACTTCAGGCCTTCTTTGATCCTTGGCCACAGAGTTACGGAAGTAGCTCCACAGAGGCGTGGTCCCGGTCCACCAGGGCCACACTACCACAGACCGGTTGTTTGTTATGCTGTTGTACTTGGAGTCTCACCAGATTGTCTGGTTTCCCTTACAGGGCCCCCTCCCCCAGGAATGCACCCACCAAGGCCCTAGACTCATCTTGGCCCTCCTCAGCTCCCTGCCTGTTTCCTGAAAGCCTGTACATAGTCCTTTTGTTTCTTTGTGCCTGAGAACAGCATTTCTTAATAAACTCTTAATAGGATATTATAAGTGCACCTGGTGTTTCTGTTCATTTTTAGAAAAATCTTTGATAATGTCAGGTGCTTAATCGAGTCAAGAAGGGGTGCCTTGGAAAAATCAGCCTTAATCTTAACTGTTTGCCTTTTAAAATATTTTTCTACACATTTGCAGAGATCACAACCTCCTACCAAGAGAGTTACAGAATTGAACTACAATGAGGTATTTTAACCTATCAAATTGGCAAAGATCGGTTTGTTGAAATAAACATACACTGTTGGAGAGGGTTGGGACTTTGTGTATCCTCTTTGGAAGGAACTCATCTAAATAGCTTCTTGAGCAGTACTTTATTTTTGTACAATAAAGTATGCAGTTAGTACTAAAAATGAAAATCCTATTGATAGGAATAATTTAATGTGACTTTCTCCTAGGGTTATACATATACATGTAACCTTATCCAACTTTTGAATTGTGGGGCCTCCATGATTTCTTCTACCCAAAGCCTATGTTCAGTTGATAAAATGGTCATTGAGCAGTAGTAATCTAGTACTTGGGTACAGCTATAAGAGGTCACCACTATTTTTTTTGTTCTCGTTAATCCTCATCCAAAGATATTTTTCCATTGAGTTTTAATGAGTGGAAAGGATGGGGAGAGACACAGAGAGAGAAACATTGATGTGAGAGAAACACATCAATTGGTTGCCTCCTGCATGTGTCTGACCAGAGCTGGGGATCTAGCCTGCAATCGAAGTACATGCCCTTGACCGGAATCTGACCTGGGACCCTTAAGCCTGCAGTCTGATGCTCTATCCACTGAGCCAAACCAGCTAGGGCTCACCACTGTTCTTAAATTACTGTCCTTGGGGAATACAATTCTAAATCTAAAGGAGAACTTAATGAAAAAAAGAAGAAAAAAAAGATGTGCAGTAAGGGGGTGTTTGTCTAGGAATGTAAGTTTGGTTCAACATAACCCATATAATAGAAGAAAAAAGACATATTATGTGGTCATTTCAATAGATGCAGAAAAAGCATTTGGCAGAATTTCCCAACCATTTTATTATAGAAACACTCAGCAAATTAAAAACAGAAGGGAACTTTCTAAACATAAAGGGACTTAATGGAAACGTTTCCTCTTAAGATAAGGAGCAAAGCAAGATTGTCACTTTGGGCACTGCTATTCAACATTGTACTGGAAGTTCTAGCTAGAGCAATTACACAAGAAAAAAAAAAGTTCCAAATTAGAAAGGAAGAAGCAAAACTACAACTATTATATATATATATAGATAATCCCAAACAATTCATAAGAGCTACTAGAACTGATAAATGAATTTAGCAAGATTGCAGGGTACAAGATCATACAAAAATTAGTATTTTTATATTCCAGCAATGAACAATCTGAAAAGGAAGTTTAAAAAATTGTATTTATAATGGCATTCAAAAGAATAGCTATGAAACAACCAAGGAAGTGAAAGATTTGTACACTGAAAACTAAATGTCTTGAAAGAAATTTTAAATGGAAAGGTCTCATATTCAATGGCAACATTCCCTGAAGTGATCTGTGGGTTCAGTGCAATCCCTGTAAAAATTCCAATGGCTTTTGCAGAAATGGAAAAGCAAAAACAACTTTGAAAAAGAACAAAGTTGGAGGTCTGACACTTCTAATTTCAAAACTTACCATAAAACTTCAGTAATCAGAACAGTGTGGCACTGGCATTAAGATAGATGTAGGCCAATAGAATAGAATTGAAATAAACCCTTGCAAATACAGTCAATTGGTTTTTGATAATGCCAAATCTTTTACTGGAAAAAGAATAGTCTCTTCAACAAGTGCTGGACAATTGGATAACCACATCCAAAAGATGACATTGAATCTCTGTTACTCCATATATCACTAACTCAAAATGGATCAACAATTGAAATATAAGAACCAGAAATAATACTAGAAGAAAACAAATCTTCGTGACCTTGGATTTGGTGATGGATTCTTAGGTTGGACACCAAAAGCAAAGCAACAAAAGGAAAAAAGTGGACTTCATCAAAAATGTCTTTGCATCAAAGGACATCAAGAATGAAGAGGCAACCTGCAGATGAGGAGAAAAGATTCAAAAATCTTTGATCTGGGTTTACCAGTATTGTCTAGACCAGCGGTTGCCAACCTTTCAGACCTCATGAATCACCAGTGGTCGCAGACCACCAGTTGGCGACTGTGGATCTAAACTATAAAGAACCTTTATAATTTAATAAAAAGATGAATTTAAAACCCAATGAGGTCCTGGCCAGTGTTTCTCAATGGTTAGAGCATCAACATGCATACCGAAGGTTTATAGGTCAATTAATGGTCAAAGGCACATCCTGGGTTGCAGGTTCAATCCTTAGTCCAGACTGGGCGCATGGCAGAGGCAACCAACCAATGTGTCTCTCACATTGCTGTTTTTCTCTTCTCCCTCCTTCCCTCCCAACTCTAAAAATCAATGGAAAAAATATCCTTGGGTGAGGATTATTAACAACATATAAAGCCCAATTAAAAAGTCAGTAAAGGAATTCAATTGACATTTTTTCAACGAATTACAAGTGAACAACAAGCACATGAGAAGGTATTTAATATTGGTCGTTAGATGCAAATCAAAACCACAATGATATACCACTTCACATCTACTAGGATGGCTTTAATGGAAAAAAGGTAAATGACAACTATGTGGAGAAATAGCCCTTGTGCATTACTGGTGACAATGTAGAATGATGCAGCCACTATAGAAAAAGTTCAGTGGTTTCTTAAAAAATTAAACATAGAATTACCACATGATCCAGCAAATCCCACTCCTAGGTAGATAGCATTATTCATAATCAATAGGTGGAAACAGCCCTGGCCCGGTTTGGCTCGGTAGAGTGTCAGCCTCGGACTGAAGTGTCGGGTAGATGAATGGATAAACAAATTGGATATACATTCAATGGGATATTAGCCATATAAGGGATGAAGTGTCGATACAATGCCACTAGGATGAACCTCAAAAACATTGCAAAGTGAAAGAAGCCAGACACCAGAGGGTACATAATTGATTCCTTTTACAGGAAATACCTAGAATAGGTAAAACCAGAGAGACAAAGCTGATTAGAAGTTACCAGGGGTTGAGGATGGAGGAAATGGAGAGTGAATATGGAGTGCTTTTATGTGGTGATGAAAAGTTTTGAAACTAGAGATAGATGGTAGTTGGACAACATTGTAAATACATTAAATACCAAGTCAAATTAAAGTGGTTAATTGTGTTATGTGAGTTGGACCTCAATTTAAAAAAGAAATTTTCTTTACGGAAAGAGTTTACCAAGGCTTCCTTAGAAGTGCTAGAAAGGATATTCCCAGCAGAGGAGAAGGCTGAGGAGTAGAACATCAGGTAGGTGAGCTTGGCAGCAGCCTTTGGCAGAAGTGTTAATGGTTGGTTGCCTCAGATAGTGTCACAGGAACCTGCACCTTGAGCATCACAAACTGTAAAGTAGGGTTGATGTCAACCTCTGGCTAGCTTCCCAATCTATCTGCCAGGTGTAACCCAAAAGGGTTTTGTACTCAGCCTAGAGGGGTCAGGGGCTGGGAAGGCAGACACTCAGCACAAATAACAAGCATAAATCAACAAAGGTTAAACATAGTCACCTATTGCCTAGTGGTTAGCAGAGTAAAAATCCTGGATGCTCAAAACTGTTTTTGAAAATCGATTAAAACTTTCTTTGAAGTATGGTCTTTGTGGTTCTGTGTATACAACCTTACATAGGAAAATCTTTGGCATACTTGCTTTTAAATCACTGAGTAAAGAGAAAAAACAAAAGGAAAAGTGTGCAATTAGACATCAGGATTTGATAGTATATTTAAGATAACTCCTAAGTCCCTAGAGGTGAAAGAGGTTCGAGTGGAGAATTCCAATGTGCTTTGACTTGCTTATAGACTTTACTCCAGTCCAGTTTTCATATAAGCTTCTATCAGATTAGTTCAGTTAGTAAATTGGTCTGTGGCTGTAATGACTGAGATAACAGAGTAAAGACATTCAATCTGCTGCTGAATCCTGCTTGGTCAGACCCATATGCGTACATTTCATAATTTATGTATTCTGCTTTAAAAATATATAAACTAGAGGCCCGGTGCATGAAATTCATGCACTTGGGGAGGGTTCCCCCAGCCTGGCCTGTGCCCTCTCACAGTGCAGGAGCCCCACAATGGATTGCCCCAAAGAGGTACGCCCTGCCCACCCATTTGGGGCTCCTCAATGGATTGCCCCAAAGAGGTAGGCCGAAGCTGCGGGACCCCCAGCCTCACCGCATGCCCTCACTGCACACACAGCCTCCTGGTGATTGCTTGTTACGGCGTGAGGGTGTCATGGCGTGAGGGCGTCATGACTACATAGGCTTTTACATAGGATGCTCACTAAACTATGGAAAGAAAATAGAGTCCCAACACCCCAAACATTCAATGTTAGCCTTTGTCTACTTGTTGGGTCATGTGATCTTACTATATACTCAACTTTCTATTTCTTTTAAAAAATATACATTTTTATTGATTTCAGAGAGGAAGGGAGAGGGAGATAGAAACATCAATGATGAGAGAGAATCGTTGATAGGTTGCCTCCAGCATGCCCCCCCACTGGGGATTGAGCTGCAACATGGGCATGTGCCCTGATCGGGAATCAAACCCTGGTTCATAGGTTGACGCTCAACCACTGAGCCACACCGGCCGGGCTCTATTTCTTTTACCATCAAAAACATCTCAGATCTTTGCTAACATTTTAGTGACTTTAATATCTCATTAAGTGAACATACCACTGTTTACTTCGCTAATTCTTGGTAGTTGGACATTTAGATTAGTTTTCCACTTGCAAATAAGGGGATGACCATATTTTTGCATGAAGATCATTCTATATTTAAACCATTAAGAAAGGAATTTTTGAGTGAAAGGATGTAAACGTTTTAATTAACTTTCTTAAACCTTGAGTAGATTTGCTCTATTACTAAAAAGACACAGCTATACTTTTTACAACATTGTCCTCAGAACTGATAT